TTAATTTTTTATAAATGTGACAAAAAACTAAATAAAAGTATTTTGAGGTTGTGGTTTTGATATTTCTAACTACTGTGATATTATCGTAACCTAATGCCTTAACAGAAGAGGTTCCATGGTGTAGTGGTTAGCACTCGGTTATAATTAATTACTTCGTAATGTTTAAAAGCATTTTTACTTAGCCAATGAGAAAAACACTAGAACATGCTAAGTAATTTTTTGTTTGACACAACTTCAAAATGCGCTGACACGCAGTTGAAGCTTGACGATAATCCATTAAAAGTAATTTTTTTCAAAAAAAATATTTTTCATAATTAAATTGCAAAACATATTTAGTATTAATTAATCATTATTATACATACCACGTTATAATCTCACAATTAATACAAAAAAAAAAGGGAAAAATATCACAGATCACAAATAAAAATAAAAGTAGGAATATATCTCGCAAATCACAATTTTAATTCTAATAAAAAAGATAAAATTCAAATATACGTACACATACATAAGACGATATAAATCTCACAATAATTAATTAAGGAAATAAAATTATTTGAATTTCACACTGTCGGAATATTGACTACATCAGAGAAGCAGAGATGGAGCAGATTGAAGAAGAAGATTGTATTCCAAAACTGAAGACATAGCTTTACAAGTTGGTATATATACACATAGAAACGAAACAGAGATATGAAAGATAGGAAAAGACAATAAAGCCCTGTGCACTGTGCTATTCTAGAGTTCGTAATTTTTATCCTCCAACACCCCCCCGTAAGTTGGAGCGTGTAGATTCTACATGCCCAACTTAAACACAAAAGGTAGTGAGGACTACAAACATAGGCTACTCATTGAGAACCCATAACAGCAGAGAAACCATTCTCATCTTGATTATCAAGATTGATCCCTTGCTCAATGAGAACTTTTAGTGCCGAAACATCAGCACACAGTAAAGGAGAGAACATGGATATATTGCTTGACTTAGGAACCTTTCCATTGCAGATGATGCTCAGCTACTGCAAATCTAGGCTTCTCATTGAGTCCACCAAGGATGGTGGACCTCCTTATACACCCATTCTTTTCAGACCATCAGATTCTGCAATTCTGCTCTGCTAGAGAAACCATCAACATCAATCGAATTTGCTGATTGACCGGCTGTATTTACTAAGCCTAAATCAGCACCATGTCTTAGCAAGATTTTGAGGCACTCTTATAGTTTGTATCTAGCACAGATCATAATACCCGTCTCACTGGTTTCTGTTTTTAAATCTAAGTCACAGCCAAAGTTAATTAGACACTTGAGAACAGTTGAAAATCCAAGGTGTACAGCCATAGGGCAGAACTCAGTTTTCCGGGTGGTTTTAACTGGAGACTCCACATGAGCACCACTTTCTTCAAAGTACTCTTCATGTTTTAACCTCAACCTTTTCAAGAAAGAGAATGCTTTAACCTCAACCTTTTCAAGCTCTAAGCCATTATCAGGAGTGAGAGCATCGCTCTGAGTAAGGACATCTACTTCATAACTACTCCTCACACGAACATAAGTTGTAAAAGAAAAATGAATCTTGTTTTCTTCCAAAGGGAATGATGTGTACCAGGACTGAAATGCAGTAGTATCAATACCAAGCATGAAAGTATCACAGTCAACGTCTGCCTCAATTTCAGTGATATGAATGGCCTCACATTTATTAGCATTAAGGGCCAACCTGAAAATCTATCACCACCTCCTTTGACAAAGACTTTCTCTATTGATAGAGAATAAGGGGAAGCTGCCAATAATTGCAAAGCATCACCTAAACTTCCACACATCACAACCAGCACGAGGCTAGTCACCATGGATCGCAGGGTCATCTGCTCTTTCCACGACGGAACATTCGTGTTCCGGAAAACATACTCCGTAGCCGATAGCCTCTTGTCCTCCGCTTCTCCTCCGCAATCGCGTTTGTCGTCTCCCAACCATTCTCTGTCCTCCACTACTTCCACCATCGTCGCAGATTCCTTAGCTTCTACTGTGATCTTATCGATCTCCGCGGTTCTCTGACAGAAGGAAGTTGTGAAGAAACGAACGGATTCAGTTTTGGAGAGAGAGAGGGACAGAGCGAGAATAGAAGCTCTAATCGCCATTGCTTTCTGAACAAATTTTCGATCGAGAGACGCAACCGCTTTGGTTGAATCGGAGAACTGCTCCGTCTTCTTCAGATTGAGAATCGGAGAACTGCTTCGGAGAACTGCTCCGTCTTCTTCAGATTGAGAATCGGAGAACTGATCCATCTGCTTCAACCACTGTGAGCTACGAACTCCTTCCTCTGCGGCTGGGGAGGTTCGAGCAATCGGATGATCGGCTAAGGCTATGGCTCTGTGAACGTATTTGAAATGGAAATATACAACCGCTGCGGCTGATTGCTCCAAATCCCGAATCCTCTGCGGATTGATCGGAATAGACGAACGACCTCCTCCATTCCGTTGCAGAACAGCTGTGGAGATCGCCGTATCTTCTGGATTCCTCTGCGGAATCAGTGTTGATGCTGATCGGACTGTTGATCTAGCATGGACTTTGTTGTTTCTACTCTGCGTAGAACTAATCCTCTGCGGATTAACTAAGATTGCACAGAAACTAGTCAGGTGTCGGCGTCGCTTCACTTCATCGACTTCTCCGGCACCGGAAAATGCAGTAGCAGCGTGGATGAGCTCCCGCTGCTCTGATACCATGTCGGAATATTGACTACATCAGAGAAGCAGAGATGGAGCAGATTGAAGAAGAAGATTGTATTCCAAAACTGAAGACATAGCTTTACAAGTTGGTATATATACACATAGAAACGAAACAGAGATATGAAAGATAGGAAAAGACAATAAAGCCCTGTGCACTGTGCTATTCTAGAGTTCGTAATTTTTATCCTCCAACACACACATAAGACGGTATAAATCTACACATACATAAGACCCAAGTCGTGCGACACCAGGCCGTTAAGCTCTTCCGTCAGGGTTGGTACGCGAGGTCGGACCTCGTGCCCCCCTAGGGTATAGTTGGAGGGGTTATGCGGGTCCATCTCTCACCCCCCGTCTTAAAAAGTAGTGAAAATAAGTCCGTGGCGAAACTTTTACTAACTTTATTTAAATGAAAGGGACGGACCACCTCTTTGACATTTTCATCGGGTACATGCATCGTAGTGGGGTGTTGCTATAGGACCTCTTGTAGAGTGTATCACCGAGTAGCAGGTAAGTTCCCCTTACCCGCTTGGCATCGGCCATGTCAAGGGGCAAGCAACCCATAATAGGTTCTTCCGTTAGGTAGTGAGCGGGGGCGTCCCCCCTATACTACCATTAGGGAATGCCAATGGGCTCTTAGAGGTCGACCATTCGTTTCTCGGAGGGGCGGACCGTCTTGAGTACCTCCTTGGGGACCTTCTGCTATGTGAGCCAAAGTCGCAGAGGATTGTTAAAGGGCAACCGCCCCCTCCTGTAGCGAGGCGATATTCGGAGGAGGGGCGGCGGAAGCCGGCATACCACCGCTGCGATGGTTGGTGAGGTGATCTCTCAAGTCCCCTCCTAACCTACTGGAGACGGTCAGTTGGGCTCTGTGAGCATAACTCTTGTCGCGACGGGGCTCGAGGCCCGCGGCTCGGCGACCTCCGAGCGATTGATTTTTGCCGCGGAAACCTACGGGAGCACGACTCGGCTAGCAGTAGCCCGTTGGCGGTTGGCCTCGGCCCCAACCTATCTCGGGCCGGCACACAATTGCCCCAGCTTCTCCATGGCAGGCCTGGGTTGGGTTGGCCTCCTTCCATCGTCGGCGTGATAGAAGTCCGCTGCGCCCCCTGGAGGGAGGTGGAGGCGGGACCGGCATCCTTTGGGTGACGTCCGGGTCGGCTTGCAGACCTGCTCGAAAGCCTTCCATGACCCGGGCTAGCGTCATGGAAGCTCGTTGAAAAACTGCCACCCCCTCCCGAATGAGGGCTAGGTCCAGAACGAGGGCGGCGGGAGGTGAAGCACTACTGCTGCGGTGGTTGGTGAGACGATCCCTCATGTCTCCCCCCGACCTGACAGAGGCGGTTGGTTGAAGGCTGGGACCATGTTGAGGTCGTTCCCAGTTGCGGCAAGCTGGGTGTCGGGGGAACTGTTGGTGTGGCGCGAGTTGGATCTCGATCTTGCCATGGTAGCTAGTCGCGGTAGACCACTGAATATAGAACACGCTTGAGCTGGTACAACAACTCTTAATAAGAGCACCAATGATGGATTTAATTAATCTAGGGTGGCCCGAATTATTAAACCCTGCATGTTTCACATGTGGCCTTCTTCGCACCAGAATCTAAGCATATATATATATATATATATATATATATATATATATATATATATATATATATATATATATATATATATATATATATAAAAGTTTCAGTGCATTTAAGTGTTTCCCGTATGGTTGTGCAGTTTTAACGTGCGTGAGTTTTGTGTTTAAGGTGCATGAGTTTGTGCTTAATATGACTTGTTGTTGAAACTTAAGTGCGTGAGTTTTGTGCTTACGGTGCGTGAATTTTGTGCTTAACGTGTGTGGGTTTGTGCTTAATTAAAGTAATAAAGTAACGTTTTACATGTAAGTTGTGGCTATAGTTTTCTTTCTCTATTTTAACATGTGCACACAAGCAAATATATGTAATTTTTTTAATTTTAATATACGTTATTACAATGGTGTCAAAAAAAAAAAAAAAAAACGTTATTACAAAATGAAAGTTTGAATATATTGTTTTCTGTGTATTTATTATGTGATTTTGTGAATCTATATATATATATGAAGTGCATTAATTTTGTTGACTGTATATGCAAATCAGTATCTTATTGTACCAATATATATTGTTTCTATGGAAGTTGCGAAATTAAAGATACTTTAAAGTATATTGTTTCTGTGGAAGTTGCGAAGAAGGTGCAACAAGGTAAAGAGCCGCCTGCCTTTTTCATCTTCTGTGCTTTTTTTTTTTTTTTTTTTTTTTTTTAAATAATTATCATTCTAGATTGATTGTCATAGTTCTTTGTCATAACATCCTGTAGTATATTAGTAATTGTTTTGTGTCTTTGCGGCTGCATGCACAGAGATGATTTCATAAAGAGAATGTTTGGGCTCAATGAAGAAATAAGGTGGGTGCCTTAAGCTTATATTTCAGTTACCTAAGTGCATGATTGTATCTCACTACTTCTTGGTCATGTTGTGGTTCTATATGTGAAAGACAGAAAAACTGGTAAAAGCTTGTATTAAAGAATGTTTAGGCTTTTTAGTACCAAGCAATCTGTTAATCTAATGAAGTATAGGGAGAGAGCTTCAGATTGTTAAGACCATAAATACTAACACCAGTTATCTGCTTGTAAGTTTGAGAGTGTTTGGTGTTAATTTTAGCTATGTAAATAATTGTAATCAAATATTGTTTCTTTCTATCTTTAATTTGTTCAAATATATTTAGATCCTCTCTGATAATAGTATAATACATGGAGATGATTAGCAGCTTTCTGTTTACTGATGCAGGAAACTCTATGAGTCAATAGCCTTAGCTTTCATCCAAGATAATTTCAGTCAGACAACATCACACTCTGGTTGGGTTATGCACATTGATAACCATCTTGTTTACATGTTCTGTTGTGCAAATGCTTTGGTTACTGAAAATTCGAAGTTAAGAACTGAAAAGCACCGCATTTTCACAAGAAAAAGAAAAGAAGAAAAAAAACAGAAGAGAAAGTTTAAGTTAGAATATATGCATATTAGGAATGATTGTTTTTATATACGATCGGCTCCTCAAAGATGACAAGATTTTGTGGACTACTTTTGAATACAGGTCTAGAAAAGTCCAATGAAGAAGAGACTGAGCTAGCTAAGAGGGATCTTGAGAATAAGCTTGCTCTAGATAGTCAGATCACTATGGAGGAAGAAGAATACAAAACAATGCAGAATGTACATAAGCAGGTTCAGGAATTTTCTTTCCATCTATTTTTTATACAATTTTTTTTATTGTTAATGATTTTTGTGATTCAACCTTCTATTGCACAGCTCTTAGTTGATAAAATTTAATTCAGGAGTAAAGGACTGGGAGAAGGCCCTATATGTATTTTCTTTATACACTTTGTCCTTTTACTGCTTGTCTTAATTTGTGAAATAAGTTTAAGTTCATATTATGTTTGTCTTTAGGTTGTTACAACTCCTATGTCCACTTTAAATGCTATTGCTATTGAAGCATACAAGAAGTACATACTGGTTTCACTCATTCACCTTGGGCAGGTATGCTTCCTTCCTTATATTCTTTGAATGTTTATGTTAATTAGCAAAATCAACACAACCATGTTGCTTTGTACGTGTTTGAAATGTTATTAGTCACTTTTTTGAAGATCTGTTTGATTTTGGGATATTGCAGACTTGCAGTTTATGAGTGTGCTACAAAACATGGGAAGAGTGATCATGGAGAGTGATCTTCAAATGCAGCATTGATGGTAGAAATTCAACAAATAAAGGAAGAAAACAAAATGATGAAACACAAGCCCCTCCTGATGAAGATTAAAGTATTTTTTGTTTTTATGACTTCTTTTGTGTATGGCAATAGTGCATTGTTTAAATATTTATAAACACAATACTATTTTTTTGTTGTAAATAATTTTGATATTTAAATAGATTTTCATTTTGAATTTAGATTGTGTACCTACTTTGTTGATAATATAAAATTTACTGACAATAAGTAAAACAAAATTATAGCAAGATTAAAATAATAAAAATAATTTATATAAATATAGATTTTTCTACCAACTGTTGGCTACAATTTCCGACCAACCGTTGGAAGGAATTTTGGATATTAAAGCGTATGAATTTTCCGACTAACAGTTAGTCGGTATTTCTATCCAACGGGTCAAAGTTGGACGGAAATTTCCATTCTAAAATGGTGGGTTAACATCCGGAATTTCTGTCCAACTTTGACCCGTTGGACAAAATTTCTGTCCAACATCTGATGTTGGACGGTATTACCGGTGTTCATTTTTCTAGGTTCACGTTTTGGTCGGAATGTTGGACGGAAACCCGTTTTTCGACCAATAACTCTTGTTTTCCGTCCAATTTCTGTTGGATGGAAATGCCGAAATTTCCAGCAGTGCTTAAATTTGATCTTTTCTCCCCCATCTCATTTAATTTTTATTTTTTTTAAGTATTATAATGATCACAGAAATAATGTTTACCCCACTTTTCTTTTATCTTTAGTGTAGCCAAAAAATGGAATTGAAGGAGCGGGATGTAATCAGCTATCAGCTAACAGTCAATTTACCAAACACTTTTTTACAATTAGTTAAAATTACTAACACAATTAGTAACAACTATTTACCAAACACCACTTATATAATTCCTTTGTTTTTTTTTTTTTTTTTTACTTATACTTTATGTTTGTAATTATATATATATATTTTATAGATTTAGTAAATTATTGTAATGTCATTAATGTTAGTGGCTGTAATTATTACTTTATATTTTTATGGTTTATATATGTTGGTCCCTAAGAGTCTAGATGGGGGTGGGGTGGAGTGGGGTTGGGGTGGGGGGAGGGGAGGTGAATAGACTCTTAAGTGATTTTAAAACTTTAATACCATAGAATATATGCAGCGGAAAATATGTGTTCTTGTTAGTTTTCTTGCACTTTTAGTTTGAAAGATGTTGCTTAGGCTTAGGTTTGATATGAATGCAATGCAATACTGATAAGTAATAATAAATAAGAGGGGTAGAGAGAAAGAGAGAGAGATTTTATAGTGGTTCGGTTGTTAACAAAGCCTACTCCACTACTCTTCTTTTGCAATTCGTGAACAAGTTTGTACTATCACTTCTTAGTACAAACTAAACCAAGCTTGCTTCCTTGATCACTAAGCCGGACATCAACTTGCTAAGGTTTTCTACTCCTTTCGAGTTTACTCCGCCTCTATCAATTTCTTCAGAGTTGAGTGTTGGAAAAGATTGATGGAATCTCCAACTTGAAATCTTGACTTGATGGAGCTTGATCTTCATATCAACTTGTGCAAGATTTCTCTGTGGTGTGAAGACTTAAGAGCTAGATTGTCTTTTTAAAGAGTTTTCACAAACACACGATGGTTGCAAAATAACTTGTAGCTTTGAGAGAGTTTGAAAGCTTTTCAATAGCAATAGAGTGATAACCAACTCCTTCTTCAAGTGATGAAGAGGGTTATTCATAAACCCAACAGGGTAGCTCAAGTGGCAAATGAGCTCTCTTTGTGGGGGAGAATTTCAGGATAACCGGAGTTTAATTCCCACGAGTGATGATTCGTTTTGGGTCAGCTTCTATGGACCTGGACCGTTAAATGCTCATTGGGAATCAAAATATATATCATTCCTAGGACACCATTTGTCTAGGATGATTTCCCTTGAGACTTGGATTATTTAGAGCATGTAAGACTTTGTCCAATAGAGTCAGACAGTGACTCGTGGTCTTGGGTTCTGGTAACGAATGATTCTCCTTGTCATTCATTGTGTTCACAAATCAAAAATCAAATGTCCTTTCTTTGTCATTTGTCAATTACACGAGAGATAGACCTTCCAAGTTTCGGTCAAGGATCTCTTGGCATTCTCATCCCTTCATCTTCTTCTTGATCTTACTTTTTCATCTTCTTCTTGATCTTACTCTTTCGTTGTCGATAAACTTTAGCTTTACAGAGAGCACGAAAGTATCCTGTCCTTTCAAGTTGCTTAACAAAAACAAAATTAACAAAGACAATATCAAAATGAGAGGTCTAACTTTCTAAGGTTGGTATCATCAAAATCTAAGTACAAAATAGTTCCTAACAGTTTATTCTAGAATTTTCTTTTAATTTGTTTCTTTATTTTCTCAATCTCACTAAATTGCAGTAAAACGCACCAGAGGACCTGATCAAATCTAGAATTCATTTATGGCAGAAGTACGTGGCAACAAGAGGAGGCATAGATCACACCAATTAATAAGGTTTTGTGTTGCAGAAATTATGCTTGGGTCCTATCCATTGAGGTACTTCTCTCTAAAACTGTTATTGCACTAGTTAATCCAACATTTCTGCCACAGGTCATAGTTATACATTCTTGAAATATATATTTTTACGAAAAAAATTAATAATCTTGTATTGATATAACGCAGGATACTGAATGATACTTTGATATATTATGAAACACTAATTTAAAAATACACATTGAGTTCAAAGTATTCGGTGCACGGGTAGTAATTAGTTATAATGATAACAGAAATAATGTTTACCCCACTTTTCTTTTCACTTCATTGTAGCAAAGCAAAAATGGAATTGGAGGAGGGGGGATTACAACTTATATTTAGAGATGAATAACCCATTGACTCGATGCAGGTTGCCAAGCATAAGCATTTACACTGATTAATTAATCTATATTTCCCTGTTTTTGTTTTTGTTTTTTGTTTTTTGTTTTTTTTTTTAATCAATTTTGTTATTCATACTTTATGTTTGTAATTATTATTTGAGTTTTTTCCCAAAATGGTCCCTCGACTATTGCTCATTCTCAATTTTGCATTTCGACTTTTAATTGCACCCAATGTGGTCCCTTGACTTTTAAAAACTCCCCCAAATTGGTCCTCCGTTAGAAATTCCGTCTATTGAGTGTTAAAATGAAGGGCATTTTCGTCCATTTACCTATTATATGCCTAACATACTCTGAAAAATAGTCAAGGGACCATTTTGGGAATAGTCGAGGGATCATTTTGAGAAAAACTCATTTATTTATTTCATTTTTGTTTATTTCCATTTTTGTAAGACTATCAAATTAGAGTTTCTATACATTTTTTTTACAAATATAAATATTTATAATCCACAATCAAACCTCAAAATTTTAAAATTTCTATACAAATTTGTTCCTTCTGTCTAAACACACAAACTTTTCCTCTAATCCTATCAAGTTTTACAATAAGTTCTGTAAATTTCAAAAATATAATACTCATATACTTTTTATGTTCACACACACACACACACACTAAAACTTCAATAGACAATCAATCACTATGTATCACATTAAATATTATTTTTACCATTGAAAATAACATTACTATTTTAATCAGTTTAGACACCCAAAATGTACTCTTCACTTCTCAGTCACTATGCCTTTTGAAAATAAAATTATTATTTTTACAATCAATCGCTATGCTCTGGCACTTCTTCGAACTGAGAAGTACGCGTCACTTCTCGGTCAATGACAAAATCTTAGAAAATATGTTTGGAAAGTTGGCTTAACTTAGCTTGTAAGGCCATTAGTTTCATTCCAAAGTTCTTGTCATTTTGAAGTTTGTTTGTATTTTATATATGAATGTTAATAAACTTAAATTTGAAATTTAAACTTGTTTACTATAGTACGTAAAAAATTAATAATTTTATTTTAACTATAAAATAATATTTAATGTAATACATAGTGATTGATTGTGTTTTAAAGTTTTAACATGATTATATGATTATATGATTATATATATATATATATATATATATATATATATATATATATATATATATATGAGTATTTATGAATGTTACGAAATTTATTGTAAAACTTGATAGGAATAGGGGAAAAATTTGTAAGTTTAGACAAAAGGAAAAAAATTGTAGAGAATGTTTAAAATTTTGAGATTTGATTGTGGATTTTAACTAATTATATTTGTAAGAAAAAAAAATGTATAGAAATTCTAATTTGATAGTGTTAAAAAATGGAAATAAATAAATGAGTTTTTCTCAAAATGATCCCTTAACTATTCCCAAAATGGTCCCTCGACTATTTTTCAAAGTATATTAGGCATATAATAGGTGAATGGACGAAAATGCCCTTCATTTAACAGTCAATAGATGGAATTTCTAACGGAGGACCAATTTGAAGGAGTTTTTAAAAGTCAAGGGACCACATTGGGTGCAATTAAAAGTCAAAATGCAAAATTGAGAATAAGCGATAGTCGAGGGACCATTTTGGGAAAAAACTCTTATTATTTCTTATAGATTTAATTAGTAAAGGAATAAAGGTCAAATAGGTCATCGAACTGCACAAGATAATGCAATTAGGCCACTGAACCTAAAAAATCAACAATCGGGTCCCTAAACTAACCAATTTCAAACAAATCTTCCAATTTGTAGGTTTCCAACAGGTTAACAGGTCATCCTCCCAAATTAATTATTTTTTAAAAAATAAAATTTAAAAATTAATTACTTAAGTAATTAAAAAAAAAAAAAAAGAGAGACCATTTTGCCGGAGACTTCTTCGTCTCCGGCCAGTTTCTTCGTCTCCACTCCGGCCATGGAGACGAAGAGTTTCTTCTTCTCCATGGCTGGAGACGAAGAAACTCTTCGTCTCCGGCCGTGGAGACGAAGAAACAGGCCGGAGACGAAGAAGTTTCTTCGTCTCCGGCCATTTCTGTTTTTTTTTTTTTTTTTTTTTAATAATTAATTTTTAAATTTTCTTTTAAAAAATAATTAATTTGGTTGTTGACTTGTTAGAAACCTTCAAATTAGATGAATTGTTAGGAATTGGTTAGTTTAGGAACTCAATTGTTAGTTTTTTGAGTTCAATGGCCTAATTGTATTATCATGTGCAATTCGATGGCCTATTTGACCCTTATTCCATTAGTAAATTATTGTAATGTCATTCATGTCAGTGTTTGTAATAATTATTAATTTATAGTTTTAGGTTTATTTTAGAATTATTTTTTTCCCTTTATTTTCTCAATCTCACTCAAATTTATATATTTTAAAAGAAATTTTAGAAATTAAAAGTTTCGTCGGAACTCAATAAAGAACCTACCTGAATTAATTGAACCAGAACAAATGTTCAAACTTTTGAGTATAAAAACTGTCACAATCCGTGCCCATTTGAGGGTTGCCTTTCCAGTTTCGAACTTCCAAGGAAAATTAATAATCAAGCGACCGCTCAACGCAATGACTGTTACTGCATTTTAGTTCTTACGGTGTCGAAATTGGTACTCTTCCGAATTCTTTCCATGGAAGCGTCAGACGAAATGATCTCTAATCCCACCGCACAACAGGAAGGCGAAGAGGTATACCGAATTCTTTCCATGGAAGCGTCAGACGAAATGATCTCTAATCCCACCGCACAACAGGAAGGCGAAGAGGTATATATATTACGATTTGTAATGTTGAATTGATTTCATTTCCTTGATTAGAACATCACTTCTTGTTCTTGTGATCTTTACAAATTCGAAAACAGCTTTGAAAGTGGTTCATTCTTGGTTTAGGGTTTTGCATTATCCAATTCAAGGTGAAGTGAGTTGTATTTGTGTGAGTGAAAGTTGTGTCGGTGTTGTGTTCGATTAAATTTCTGTACCATATTTTCTATCATCTTTGATTTGGTAGCATTCTTTTGGGTGAATAGTGAAATTTGCAGCCTGAATAGTCAATGGATAAACTTTGTCATTGTGACCCGAACCAGTAAAACCTAAATCATTTTAGTTTGTCTAAGCTGGTCAGCTTGAATCAAGAAGGAGTCGGGGTCACTCTCATTGGGAGTGGATAATCTTGTGATTTTCAAACCAATAACCTGACGCATTTGATGATCTTGTGGATAATCATTTGATAGTATTATTTGTGGCTTGATTTGTAAACTCTTTCCATAACGCATTTGATGATTCCTTGCTAAGTCATATCTGATGTTTTTGCCGATTCTGCTCTCTAAGTTCTCTTCTCATTTGCTACATAATTCCTGGCAGATAAACATATCTTTGAGGATTACTAAAACTGTGAGTGTAAAGATTAACAAATCCGAGACCGTTGGCAGACTGAAAACCTTGTTAAGCCAAGAGGAAGGCATACAAGAATGCCTCCAACACCTCTTCTTGGACGGCATACGCCTCGAGAATGACAAAAGGCTTGTTGATTGTGGCATCTATGGCAACACCACCCTCAACGCTTACGATGAAAACTCGGTGCCATTAAGGTTGTCTGTCAAGATCCCCTCTGCCAAGAGAACCGTAATGGTGGACGTGAGAGCTCAAGACACCATCAAGACTGTCAAATCATATATCGAGGCCAAAGAAAACATCCCTTCCGATCAGTACACTCTGTTTTACAATGGAAAGCCGGTGGAAGAGGATAAAACTCTAGCGTTTCTTGAGATCATAGGGGGTTCAAATTCTACGCGGCTTCTTCACATGATCTCTAACCCCAGGGATACCTTGAAGGTTTCAGTGAAAACATTAACCGGGGAAACTGTGGAGACACAGCTTAGGATGTTGTACACCATTCTGGACGTGAAAAGCGTGGTTGAGAGCAAAGTTGGGTACCCAGTGATGAGTCTTGCATTTGGAGAAAAGCCGCTGAAGGATTCAAAGACTGTGTCATATTATAACATCGAGGATGGGTCCATCTTGGAGATCCTGCCACCAGCTACTTAGATATTCATCAAATGGGGTGTGAAAAGCACATGCTTTCAAGTGTTCTTCTGGGAATCGGTTAAAAATCTGAAAGAAGCCATCTTTAAGACGTTGGGGCTGCCAGTTCGTGTGCAGAATCTGGTGTTTGAGGGGAAAACCCTGGATGATTCCCAGGAATTGACAAGCTATGGACTCCGGAAAGACTCAAACATTCAGTTGTCAGCAAAGTTAGTTCATGTGACTTAGCTTTCTGCAACTGTACTGCAGCTATTTCCAACAGTTTATTATTAGCTCTTAAAATAGGAAACAAAAGATTGGTCGGTTTGTAATTAATGAATGCTTAGCTTGCTGTTCTTTTTCTTGATGGGGTGCTGTTACATATGGCTCTCTTCTCTATGGTTATGCCATAAAAGCCCTAATCTTTACAACTCAAGTATTATTTGTTGTCGTTTAATTTGCATTATATACTGCTTTTAAAATATTGCTAGAAATTTAAATCATTGTTAAAACTGAACATATCCACCTCTAACACACACAAAATAACATTTGTCATCACTGGTCAAAGTACCTAGAAGATCCATATATTATATGATTTTGTGCAATTTAGTCATTATATATATTATATCTTATTTTTATGCAATTTTTTTTATGCAATTTAGTTCCTATAATTTTAAAATTGGTATAATTAAGGGCACCTCAAAATTAATATTTAATAGAAGTAGATACTATATTATTATATACACAGGTCATTGAGGTCTAAGATAGCATGTGTCCTTAAAGATCTAGGGTTTGAAACTTGTTCACTATGCCTCTTGCTATTGCCAATGCCCGTTAGATGTATATTTAATTTTATCTTTTTATTAAAATTAAAATTATGATTTGTGTATTTAAAAAAAATGATTTGTGAGATTTATTTCTAATTCTAATTGTATTTTTATTTGTGATTTGTGATTTTTAAATTTTTTTTTTCCTTCTTAATTAATTGTGAGATTTATAATATCTTATGTGAGTATTTAATTTATCTTTTTATTAGAATTAAAATTTGTCATTTGCAAGATTCATTCCAAATTCTATTTTTATTTTTATTTTTTTATTTGTGATTTTTTTTTATTAATTGTGAGATTTATAATGTGTTATGTATGATAATGATAAAATTAGAATTATAATATTTACAAATAGTGTTTTTTTTTTTTTTTTTACATTTATTCTGATTCTCACATATAAGTATATATGATCGCTATTTGGTTTTGATTTTGAACTGTCGGTTCATAGTTCCGGATCCCGTTTGAACTGTTGGTTCAAACTTTATTTTAAAATTTTATTTTTTATTTTTAAATAGTCTAAATTCAACAATAACTGTATATTATTTTTTCAGTTCGGAACATGAATCGGTGGTTCCAGTTCACGATTTTAATAAACTCTAAATATCGAGTTTTGATTCTAAATTATAATCGGAATATTTCAGTTTGGTTGCTATATTGTCGGTTAGATTTAAACCAAATCGTGGTAATAATTTTTTAAGAAAAATAAATTGAACATTTATTTTAAGGGTTAATATGTTCATTTAACATTTCAAAGGGAAAAATTATCACATTTGAATAATTTAGAGAGAAAAAGTGTTATAAGTATATAACTCAAGGGAAAAAAAAATGTTATTTTTCCTAAAATAAACGAAAAAGGCTACAATACCTTTTTGGTTTATGCAGTTATACATCTTTTCTCACACATAATTTTCATCTTCATACTTGCCATAAAGGCAAAATTCCCTTACCCTTACACCCCTGCCTAGGGCTGCAAACAAACCGAGTCGAGCTCAAGCTCGATAAAATCTTAAAATTGAAGCTAGAGTTCTGCTCGTGAATTTTTTATATAGCTCGAGTGTACGAGCTCGAGTCAACCTCGACTCAACTGGCTCGAATTGAGATCAAATTTTGAGGTCAAATTCGAGTTAGATTGCTCGATCTTTCAAGTTTGAGTTTGAGCTCAAAGTTCAACCTATTTAATTCAATGCTACAATTAATAATATAAATTAATGTATCCATACATAAATAATTATAAACTTTATAAAATTTAGAGTCCAAAATAAAATATCACACTTATGTTCCAACCATAAAAACTTTAAAAAATCTCTAGTGTTATTTTATACTTTCTAGTTTTTACAAGGGGTTGGAAATTCACAAAACAATGAACTCATAATGTCAAGTTTCTTCCCAAAAAGTAAAATTCTCAATCCCAAGGGTCCCTCACACCCCAGCCTAACCGATCATTTGGGAGGATGTAAATCCGTAAATTATGTTGTGTAATCGTGTGCACCATGCATACACACTGTTGCAAAAACGATGTCGTTTTGACGTCCGAATTAAAAAAAAAATCAGTTTCGATTCTCGTCAATAGCATTATGTTGTGCATAATTTAAACTATATATCCAGAATGAATGAACTAAATATCCAGAATGAATAAACTATATTAATATCAAATCTCAAATCTTAAATACTATGTATATATTAGTTGTATGGGTTGCCTTCAAGAAATATACTTATACTCTCTGCAATGTTCCTAAAGTTGACATTAATTATGAGTTTATTATTTTGTGATAGGCTCCTCGTGCGCAGTAAGCAAATGTCTAACATCTGTGGTTCAGCTGAGTTACTATGATTTACATGGAGTGTTATGCTGTGCAACATGCATGGTGCACACGGTTGCAAAAACGACGTCGTTTGACGCCCGACTTAAAAAAAACCAGTTTCGATTGCAGCTAATGACGTTATGTTGTACATAATTTGAACTATATAGTTAACTAATGCTATTAGTTGTTCCAATTCGAATTGGCGGTTCACGGTTCATGATCTAGTTTTTTCGATTCATGATTTTAATAAACTGAAATCCAAATATTGGGTTCTAGATCTGAATCATAACCGGAAACTTTGAATTCGATTGCTAGAGTGTTCGGTTCAATTCGATCCGAATCGTGATCATCCCTACGTATAAACAATAATTTGTTGGGAAGAAAAATAAATAAAATATTTTACTTTAAGGGTAGAAATGTCAATTTAATATATCTGGGGGGAAATGCGTCACTTTTAGAATAATTGAAGGAGCTAATATAATTACATGAATAATTAAGGGGAAAATGTGTTATAAATATATAATTCAGGAAAAAAAAATGCTATTTTCCTTTTATTTTATTTGTAATAATTGTAATAATTTTAGTTAAACGAAATGGGCAACATCGTAGAATTCAAACGGCATGGCGTGTCGTTCCATCATCCCAGGAAGTTTAATGCTTCATATTTAATTAAGCGGCTGCTCAGTTAATTATATATAATAATAGGTAGTGTCCATGTTGGTTCTACTATGAACTTTCTCCATGGAAATGGAAGCATCTTCTCAGCAGAGCTCTAATCACATGGCGCAACAAAAGCAGGTGAGTTGTATTTGTGTGAGTGAAAGTTGTGTTCGATTGAAATTCTCTACCATATTTTCTATCATGTTTGATTTGGTAGCATTCTTTTGGATGATTAGAGAAACCAGCAGCCTGAATAGTCACTAGATAAAGTTAGGGTGTGTTTGATTGGTGGGTTTTGCCCATAGGAATATGTATGAAAGTAATTGTTGTTGTTTGGTTGATAAGTTTTTAGAACACTACTATGAGTTTTGAATGCCCCATTAATTAAAAAACTCATACCCAAAATATAATAAGGGTTTCATTCCTTTATTCATTCTCAAGCACTACTATTAGTAACCATTCCCATTTCACCCTACTACCAAACATGTTAAATATTTTTACCAAAATTCATTATAATTACCAAGTATTTGATACTCATTCCGATTCCGATTCTTATGTGCGAACCAAACACACCCTTAATCTTAATAACCTGAAGCAGTAAACGACCTAAATCTGTTTAGTTTGTTCATAGCTTGTCAGCTCAAATCAAGAAGGGAATCACTTTTATTATTGCTGGCGGTAGATAACTTATCTTGTTATTTCTGAACTAACAACCTGATTAACTTGGCTGACCCTATAGTTACAAGTTTATATTTGCATGGGTTACCCTGGAAGCATTCGTTCATTTGATAGTATTAAATTTGTAAACTTCTTCCATAACGCTTTTGATGATTCCTTGCTACGTCATATCTGGTGTTGTATTTTGGGATTCTACTTTCGAAGTTCTCTTATCATTTCTACATATATATATAAATATATAATTCATGGCAGATAAACATATCTTTGAGGATTATTAAAACTGTGAGTGCAAAGATTAAAAATTCCGCAACCATTGGAAGACTGAAAACCTTGTTACACCGAGAGGAAGGCATACAAGAATGCCTCCAACACCTCTTCTTGGACGGCATACGTCTCGAGAATGACAAAAGGCTTGTTGATTATGGGATCCATGGCAACTCCACCCTCAACGCTTACGTTGAAAACTCGGTGCCATTAAGGTTGTCTGTCAAGATCCCTCCGCTAATAGAACCGTAATGGTGGACGTGAGAGCTCAAGATACCATCAAGACTGTCAAAGCATATATCCAGGCCAAAGAAAACATCCCTTCCGACCAGTACAGTTTGTTTTACGATGGAAAGCTGGTGGAAGAGGATAAAACCTTAGTGTTTCTTGAGATTATTAGCAGAGGGGGTTCGATGCCGTTACTTCACATGATCTGTAATCCCAGGGAAACCTTGAAGGTTTCAGTGAAAACGTTAACCGGAGAAACCGTGGAAGCACAACTGAGGTTGTTGTACACCATTCTGGACGTGAAAACCGTGGTTCAGAGCAAAGTTGGGTACCCAGTGAAGGTTCTTGGATATAGAGGAAAGCTGCTGGAGGATTCACAGACTGTCATATTATAACATCGAGGATGGGTCCATCTTGAAGATCTTTATTCGTCAAAGTTCTTATCGGAATCGGTTGAAAATCTTAAAGATGCCATCTTTGAGAAGTTGAGGGTGCCAGTTGGTGTGCAGAAGTTGGTGTTTGAGGGGAAAATCATGCATTCCCTGGTATTGGCAAGCTATGGAGTCCGGAAAGACTCTAACATTCAGTTGTCAATACATAATTAGCTCCGATCTTAAAATAAGAAACACAAACTTGGTCGGTCTGTAATTAATGAATGCTTGCTGTTCTTTTTCTTGATGGGGTGCTCTCTTGTGTATGCTTATGCCATATAAACCCTAATCTTTGGGAGTTTTCTTCTGTATGATTATGCCATATAAACCCTAGGAGTCAAGTATTAAAGAGTCAATGCCCTTACTGGAGTTTGAACTTGTGACCTCTTTTTTGGAAGAGTCACAGTTATGTCTTTTGACTGGCCACTAAGTTTTTGGCATTTATGGTCATTTAATTTATATTATATATAGCTTTTAAAATATTGCTAGAAATTTAAACCATTGTTAAAACCGAGCATATCCACCTCAACACCTCTAAGAGCATCTTCAACCCACTTAACACCAAAACATCAAATTTCTTCATCAAATGTCACATCAGAAGGAATATTCTCAGCATTTTCTCCTATCAAATTTTATTAATCTCCAATCCATTTACACTAAAACACCATAACACCAAATTACTACACTAAAATAATTTAATTTCTCAATTATTAATTTGAATTTAATTAATTTAATGTAATATTGTTTGAACTTAATTAGTTTAATATAAAAAATTTAATTAATTTAATGTATTTTTTTTGAACTTAATTAGTTTAATATAAAATATAACTTGTAATGTAAATAATAATTTTTATATATATTAATTTTTTTATAACATTAATTATTAAAAAATAGAATTTAACAATATTTTTGAAAATTTAATTTATTTCACAATAATAATATATATTTTAATTTTTATTATTATGTTTTAGTTGTGTTTGATGTATTTAAAATTTTAATTAAAATATTCAATATTAGTCTTGTTTCGATCGTCTCAATGAGATCTTTAAAATGGTATAATTTATATTTAATAATACAAATTTTAAATATAAGTATTTAACAAAATAAAAAATTATATATAAAACAAATAAATGATATGTTTGAAATTATTAAAAAAGCAAGGGCAAAATGTTAACTTTACTCCCCATTTTAGATTTGCCGTGGATGAACAGTGCCACGCCATATATGGCGCGACACTGTTCATCAATGCAAAAAATATTGGCGTTATTCCGTTTTGCTGCTTCACCTTGGAGAGCAATTTGAGAAAATGGAGGGATGGCGTTGGAATTTATAAATATGCCACTACATTGGAGATGCTCTAACACACACAAAATATAACCATCATATTTACCATCATTGTACTGGTTAAAGTACTTAGCTAGACGGTCCATATATTATATGATTTTGTGTAATTTAGTCATTGTATATCTTATTTTTATGCAATTTAGTCCCTATAATTTTAAACTTAAGTTGGTATAATTAAGAACACCTCAAAATTAATATTTAATAGAAGTAGATAATATATTATTATTATTACCAGGACTATGTGGTCTAATGGTACCCGGGTTGGACTTCCATTTGGAAGATTATGAGTTCGAGCCTCAGTGGAGGCGTTATTAGTTCTTTGTGTTTCAATAGGTTGAGAAAGTATATGAACAGATACTACAATGTAATAGAACCAGTAGCTTTCAAAAAAAAAAAAGATAATATATTATTATATACACAAGTCATTGAGGTCTAAGGTAGCACGTGTTCTTAAAGATCTAGGGTTAGTTTAATTTGAAACTTGTTCACTATGCCTCTAGCTTGCTATATTGTCCATGCCCGTTAGATGTATGTGTTAATTTTATTTTCATTAAAATTAAAATAATTATGATTTGTGAGATTTATTTCTAACTCTAATTGTATTTTTATATTATGATGATTTGTGATTTTTAAATTTTTTTTTCCTTCTTAATTAATTATGAGATTTATAATGTCTTATTTGTACGTATATTTTAATTTTATCTTTTTATATGAACTAGTATTGTACCCGTGCGATGCACGGGATGAAAATTAAACTATATTATAATTAAATAATGAATTACTAATGCACATCTCAAGAAAGCATATAATTATTTAATGCAAAATATGAATTAATTATATATATCCAATTATAAATTTTTAAAAACTTCTTGATATACAATATTTATTGTTGAAGAAGAATACTAATCATTCTCACCTAAGACAACCACTTTAAGACCATTTGGATTGTTAACTCTAGACAAAGCTACATACAATTCGCCATTCACAAACACATGTTTTTTCAGAAGTAAACCAACTTTTGTAAGGCTTTGTCCTTGACTCTTATTTATTTATATTTATTGTCATTGCATAAGACAACATTAGAGGAAATTGCCTCTTTGAAACTTAAAATGCCAATCGAGGATCAGACGGTGTCAATGACAACCTTGGAATCAAAACTTGTGTACCTATACTATTTCCTGACATCACTTTCGCTTCCACAACACGATATCCTAATTTAGTAATGACCAATCTCATACCATTGCACAAACCAAGAGTATAGTCAATATTCCGTAAAACCATAACTGGAGATCTAACTTGCAAGTTAGACAGTGATTTGGAATGCCCAAACATTTCAAAGTGTTAAGAAATTCCGTTGTAGCAACATCGCATGGGCACCATTTCAAATTGAATATTCATGTGGCGATGGGGTTTGAGAACAGGTGCATGGGATTCGGTTGGGTATTGCACAGTGCGGAGGGGGTGGTGCAAGGAGTAGCAACACAAAAGATGCAGGGGGTATTCAATGTAAGGGAAGCGGAGGCCATGGGGGCACGAGAGGCGCTAAGTTGGATTAAAAGAAAGGGGTGAAGCAGGGTGATTGTAGAGACTGATGCTCAGGTCGTGGCCAATGCGGTGCAGAAAGGAGAATACATTAACCAGTTTCGGGCCATTGTTCATGATATCCGCACCTTGATGCAGTAGCTTGACTCGATGACCATTGCGTTCGTTCACCGTGGTGACAATGTCCAAGCTCATAGAATGGCAAAAAAGGCTTTATGTAATTCGACTCTTGAGCTAGAAGAACTGTTTGATTATATTCCTCGTTGTATTTCTGGTTGTTTGAACATTATGAATTAATATATTTTCTTTGTTGGTTTTCAAAAAAAAAAAAAGAAATTCCGTTGTATAAGAAATATTAATAATAATAGAAATATTAGTAATAAGAATAATTACATTACAAATAACAACCAGAATAAAAACCAATACAGTTGAAAGATGAATATTTTATATTATTGAATTGAGGTATAATTTTATCTCCCAAATTTTGTAAAACTTGATTGAATATAAAATATATATCATAATCATGTAAATTTGTTAGTATAATAAATCTATTTGCAAACATTGTAAACACAAACATTATTGAATTAATTTTACTTTATTATTTATGTGCTATGCTTCTACTAAACATACCTTTTTGAATTTGTTTGACTTATTATCATGAAAGAATTATTAAGCATTGCCATTTGTGTTTGTAAAGAGGCAAGTTTCATTAATGTAATAATAAAAATAGTAATAACATTAATATAATATAATAAATAATACTCACTAATAACAAAAACTAAATGAAAAGTTATTAATAAATTAATTAAATATCAGCAATAAAAAAAATCAATAATCAATAATAATAATAATAATAATAATAATAATAATAATAATAATGAAAGTTGGAACGAATGACCAGGGATTGAGTCACCAACGACAGTGTGGGAGCAACCTCTCATATTGAAGAGGGCTCCTTGTGCCCAGTAAGCAAAGGTCTAAACTCTATGGTTCATGTTCAGTTGAGTTACCATGATTTACATCCTCCCAGATGCTGTCGGGCAGGGGTTGGGGTTCAACCTAAATTAATGGACTGTAGCCCATTTACTTAACCCTCTACCCGACCCAAACCCACCAGCGGCCCACCTATCTAAACCCACCCAACCCGACAAATTCCCCCAACTCTCCCTCGCTCATCCACTCTCCTCCTCGCCATGTCGTCTCCGGTCCTCCCCTGCCTTCTTCACGATTTCAGTCCGATTGCCTAATCAAGACACACGAACGCTTCAGGAAATCCAAGCCATAACCAACCTTCACTTCACCCTTCAACCTTCAAAACACAAAAATCTCTCCTCGTAGAAGTTTTATGCGATAAGTGATTACAGATTCAATTTCAATATGTTGAAGTGTATAGACAAACAAGCAACACAAGTGCAGAAGAAAATAGAGACAAAGGCATAGCAAGGGCAATTCTGTCTTTTCCTTCTTTCATTCTGTTATAACCGTTTTCTGCGTTAGTCTTCTTTCTTTCTTTCATATATATATGATGTATTCTCTGATGAAGGTAGATCGAAATAATGAAGCATACACACAGTTCCACTTTTCTTCCATCAATAATCATGAGCTCCTTTTCATACTATGCAAAGCCTAATTAGTTTGGTTGCATGTTAGAAAACCATTTTCATCATGGTATCAGAGCAACACCGCAGCTACGCCGCCGTGGTCAGCACAGATCGTGAAGCCGGAAACGAGGACTCCGTCGGAAACACAACAGGAACTTCAATTCCGGCAAGCCAGATCCATGCGAACCAGAGTCAGATACATCGAACGGATGAAGTAGACGATCCGATGTATCTTCATGTCACGGAAAATCCGAACATAGTGCTTGTTTCACCTCCTTTGTCAGAATTCAACTACGCTACATGGAGCAGGTCCATGAAGTTGGCGTTGGGGGTGAAGAACAAGTTTGGTTTCGTCAACGGCTCTATTCGTAATCCAGGCGAGTCTGATCGGAGGTTTGCTGCCTGGAAGCGATCCAACGACATTGTGTGCGCCTGGATATTGAGATCTCTAAACCCTACCATAGCTGAGAGTGTCCTGTATTTTGAACAGGCTGAGGATATATGGAATGCGTTGAGGAAGAGGTATTCTCAGGCAGACTCTCACAAAATAGCAGAAATTCAAAATGAGATTTATAGAAGCACACAAGGTAACATGTCTATTAATGAATACTTCACAAAGTGTAATGCTCTTTGGGAGAAATTGAATGCAGTGAGACCTTTACCTGTGTGTGAATGCATGCCTAGATGTGCTTGTTCTCTCATGAGTAAAATTCGGAAAGACAGAGAGGAGGATCAGGTCATTAGATTTTTGGAGGGATTAAATGATGAGTTTGAAACCATCAAATCAGGTGTTCTAGTCATGGATCCCCTCCCAACTATGGAGAAAATCCTAAACATGACTCTGAAATTAGAGAGAAAGCTCAACAATGTGAATGCTCATAAGAATAATGAGATTGCACATGCCAATGCTATCCAGAATCCAGTACCAGATGATGAAAACATTGTGGCCATGGCATCAAATAATAAGAAGAAGTTCAACAATGCAGGAGGTAAATTTGTCCCAAAGTGTACATATTGTGGGATGAATGGTCATACTATAGATAAATGCTATAAGAAGCATGGATTCCCTTCTGGCTGGGTGCAAGGATACAAGTCCAGGAATAGACAAACTCAAGGTCAAGAGAATCAACAGAACTTCAGTTCCTCTGTCAATCAGATTGCTGATGTAGGCCTTTCTCCTGACCAGTTTAAAAGGTTGGTATCTCTCCTGCAAGGACAGAATCAAGGAAACCAAGCCTCCACCAGTGCTGCAGTTACCATCAATGACACTGGAATGAAATCCAATTTCACAAAGATGCCTAATACCTCAAAAGAAGGCAAGTATTTCTGTAACTCCCACATATATGCTATATTGAATTGTCCTACTGTGTGGATATTGGACTCAGGAGCCACTGATCATATTACTTGTTCCTTGGAGTATTTTGAAAACTGTCATCCTATGAATGATATCTCTGTAAAATTGCCAAATGGAGAAACTATGCAGGTCACACACATGGGAGAAGTCAGACTCTATCCCAACCTCATATTGAAAAATGTCTTATATATTCCCTCTTTCAATTTCAACATAATATCTGCTAGCAAATTAATAAAGCAAAGTGGTTGCACCCTTGTTATGAGCACTGATTCTTGTGATATTCAGGGAATGCATGGGATGATGGATGGTTTTGCTAGGGAGAAAGATGGTCTCTACCTTCTCAAACATCCTCCTGTCAAAAGAAAGCAGTACAATGAGATTAGTAGTCAATGTAATAGTTTGACACTTCATATGTGGCATAATAGACTGGGGCATTATCCCATAAATAAGATTCATACTTTGAATGGAATAAAATGTGCTCAGTTTCAAAAATCCCAACCATTTGCTTGTGACACTTGCCATTTTGCTAAACATAAGAAATCTGTTTTTCCTGTCAGTGAAAATAGGGCTGCAAAATGCTTTGATCTAATTCATATGGATGTGTGGGGACCCTTTCCAGTTTCATCCTTGAAAGGGGAACACTACTTTCTAACCATTGTTGATGATTGTAGTAGATTCACATGGTTTCATTTGATGAAAGCTAAGTCAGAGGTCAAGGGCCTGTTTCAGAACTTTTATAACTATGTTGATACTCAATTTTCAACAAGAATCAAGGTGGTAAGATCTGACAATGGTACTGAGTTTATCATGTCTTCCTTTTTCAATGAAAAGGGGATAGTTCATCAGAAATCTTGTGTCAATACACCCCAACAAAATGGGGTGGCAGAGAGGAAGCATCAACACATCTTGAATGTTGCTAGGGCACTCAGATTTCAGTCTGGTGTTCCCTTGGAATTCTGGAACCATTGTGTGTTGCATGCTGTGTACTTAATTAACAGATTGCCTACACCCATTAATGGTGAAAAGTCACCCTTTGAACTTCTATATGGTCAATCTGTGGACTATAACAATTTCAGGTCTTTTGGTTGCTTGTGCTTTGGTGCATCAGCTTCACAAGGGAGAAACAAAATGATGCCCAGGGCCAGGAAGTGTATTTTTTTGGGTTTCCCTGCTAATGTGAAGGGGTATGTATTATGTGACTTGGCTGACAATTCTATCTTTGTTTCTAGGGATGTGCAATTTTATGAGAGTATATATCCTCTCAAATCCTCCTCTAATCATCATGATCCTTCTCAGTCCTCTGATCATGATCCTTCTCAGTCCCAGAGTTTTAATCCATCTCTACCTTTGGTTCCTATTAATGAAGACATGTTACTAATGAGGTCTCTGAACAGATTCACAGGAAGTGAAAAGCCTAATAATACACAGATTTCTGATGATATCCCTCAGATAGCAGATTGCAGTCCCAATGTTTTAGCTCAGCCAGAAAACCATACACCAAGTCATGATGCAGATCTTAGTGACAATGGTGAGCATGGATTGAATAATGAATTGAATGATGAGAGTCCTCAAGAAGAAGCTTTCAGTCAGCAGCAAGTTAGAAGGTCTGAAAGGCCTAGAAACCTCCCCAGGAGGTTGCAAGATTACTATTGCACTCATGTGAGGACTTCTCCACATACCCTGGACAAAGTCTTATCATATGATTCTATGTCCCTGGACCAAAGGGTATGTGCCTCATCTATCTTAGCAGCACAAGAGCCACAATCATATGCAGAAGCAGTACAACATGAGGCATGGAGAAAAGCAATGACCTCTGAAATTGAAGCATTAGTTGCCAACAATACTTGGACTTTAACAAACCTTCCAGCTGGCAAAATCCCAATTGGATGCAAGTGGATTTTTAGGGTCAAACATAGAGCTGATGGCTCAATAGAGAGATACAAGGCTAGACTTGTAGCCAAAGGTTACACTCAGCAACTTGGAGTGGACTGCACTGAGACCTTCTCTCCTGTTGCTAGGATGACTACTATAAGGACTTTCTTGGCTGTGGCTATCACCAGGGGGTGGGATGTCCAACAACTTGATATAAACAATGCTTTCCTCCATGGTGATCTAGATGAGGAAGTCTACATGCTACCACCTCCAGGTTTTACCACTGACAAACCAAAACAAGTATGCAGATTGTTGAGATCCTTGTATGGCCTAAAACAGGCTAGCAGACAATGGAATTCAAAATTGACTTCAGCCTTACAAGGAGCTGGCTTCCAACAACCCATGGCAGATCCTTCATTGTTCACCAAGATCTCAGGGAGTTCTTTTACTGCACTCCTCATATATGTAGATGATATTTTGATAGCAGGAAATTGCAAGTCACAGATCAGTCAGCTTAATGAATTCCTAGACAAATCTTTCAGGATTAAAGACCTTGGTCACCTGAATTTTTTCCTTGGAATTGAGGCAGTCAGAACAGCTGCTGGGATCAGTCTATTTCAGAGGAAATACACATTAGAAATCCTCAAAGAAAATGGTTTTTTAGAGGCTAAACCTGCAAGTACTCCAGCTACAACTGGTCTCAAACTTGTTAGTTCACAAGGGATTCCTCTTGACAATCCTGAAATTTATAGAAGACTCATTGGCAAACTGCTATACTTGAAAAACACAAGGCCAGATATTTCACATGCTGTTCAGCAGCTGAGCCAATTTGTTGATACACCTACCAATATTCATCTCACTGCTGCTCATAGAGTCCTCAGATACCTCAAAGGCTCCCCAGGAAAAGGCCTGTTCTACCAAGCTAATTCCAACATACAGCTGAAGGGCTTCTCTGACTCTGATTGGGCCAACTGCATTGACTCTAGAAGTCTATTACTGGCTTTTGCATATACCTTGGTGATAACTTGATATCATGGAAGACCAAGAAGCAAGCCACAGTATCAAAATCTTCTTCAGAGGCTGAGTACAGAGCTCTAGCCTCTACTGTCTGTGAGATTCAATGGTTGCATTATCTGCTAGCTAATTTGAATGTGCAATTTGATGCACCATCTCTTCTGTTTTGTGATAATCTATCAGCCATTGCTATTGGAGAGAATTATGTGTTCCATGAACGCACAAACATATTGAAATCGACTGCCACATTGTCAAGCAAAAAGTGCAGGAGGGGTTGATCAAGCTGCTGCCAATCTCTTCCCAAAAACAAATTGCTGATGGCTTTACTAAATCTTTGTCCAAGCCTGCTTTTGAGACCTTCCACTCTAAGCTGGGCATTCATGATATTCATGCTCCAGCTTCCGGGGGGGGGGGGGGGGGGGGTGTTGAAGTGTATAGACAAACAAGCAACACAAGTGCAGAAGAAAATAGAGACAAAGGCATAGCAAGGGCAATTCTGTCTTTTCCTTCTTTCATTCTGTTATAACCGTTTTCTGCGTTAGTCTTCTTTCTTTCTTTCATATATATATGATGTATTCTCTGATGAAGGTAGATCGAAATAATGAAGCATACACACAGTTCCACTTTTCTTCCATCAATAATCATGAGCTCCTTTTCATACTATGCAAAGCCTAATTAGTTTGGTTGCATGTTAGAAAACCATTTTCATCACAATATGATAGGAGTTACAATACTAAAAGCTAAAACAACCAACGTGAAGTAATCCTATCTAATAGGGAAGCCATAGAAATCTAACCTATTATAATACTATTCAAAGATGTAACATATAATAATAACATTGCTAACAGAGTTGAGGTTGACTCGAGCTCGAGCACAAGCTCATACACTTGAGCTATATAAAATATTCGCAATCTGAACTCGAGCTTCAATTTTAAGGTTCTATCGAGCTCGAGCTATCTTATATTTGAGGTCGAGCATGGCTCAGCTCATTTGCAGCCCTAAGAAGGGGTATAAGGGTAAGAAAATTTTGCCTTTGTGGTCAAGTATGAAGATGAAAATTATGTGTGACAAAAGATGTATAACTGCACGTAAGTAAAAACAAAAAGGGTATTGTACCCTTTTTTGTTTATTTTATTTGTAATAATTTTACTTAAAACGAAAAAGGGCCACATCGTAGAATTCAAAAGGCATGCGTGCCATTCCATCTTCCCAGGAAGTTTAATGCTTTGTATTTAATTAAGCGGCCGCTCAGTTAATTATATATCAGGTAGTGTCCGTGTTGGTTCTACTTTGTACTTTCTCCATGGAAGCATCTTGTAAGCAGAGCTCTAATACCATGGCGCAACCAAAGCAGGAAGAGGAAGATGAAGAGGTTAGAAACTGAACCATTTGTATTGTTGTTTTCTTCAGAAAATCACAAGTTTCCCCCAAGTCATATCTGTTGCAGTTTGTAATGGTTCTAAGTGCTCTTCTCGTTTTCATGCTAGCATAATTTTTTTGCAGATAAACATATGCGTGAAGATAATTAAAACTCTGAGTTTACAGATTAGTAAATTTGAAACTGTTTTGGGACTCAAAGCATTACTGTGCAATAAGGAGGGAATACCAGAGCGTCTTCAGGAGCTGTTTGTCAACGGCAATCATCTCAAGGATTACCATTTGACACTTATTGATTATGGAATCTGCAGTATGTAACGTTTATCCGTTACTATTATTATAACATTAGGATAAGTTATGATAATATTCAGTATTTGATATGTGGTGCAACACTAATAACCTAATAGCTAGACTACCATTATGATTAGGAGTCTGGTTAGGGTTTAGGAGACCTAAAGACAATCAACCACAATGATGGCCAGTGGTTATATAAGGTCACTAGTCCTCTCACTGCTCACATTACATACCTCATACACCATCTAGAGAGAGCTGAGTAAAGCGAGAGACAAAATACTCATTATCTCTGCAGCAGTCCGGATCGCTCAACCGTAACAGAAACTATGGCGGGAGGTTAGTCGATCCTATGATCACATATTCTTTGATGCATGTGATATTTTAGTCTAACAGTTGGTATCAGTCGCCATATATAATCTCTGTCTGGTTCGTTTCGTTTAATTGCATATATATAATATTTGCATATGTTGTATACGATTTTGTATAATTGAGATACATGTGTAAATATTCTTGAGTATGCAATTAAATTTTCTGGACTGCTGAAAATAATTTTCCGCATTAAGAATTAATTAAAAAAAATTATTATTGGATAATTATTTTGGCCTACTGCTTCGCCATTTTTTCTCATGCCGACATCCATTTTTTCTGTTGGCGCTGCTTACGGTAGAAAATTGAAGAAGATGATGATGTTATGTTAATGGGCCAGGTCTGGCCCAATTTGGGCTAGACCTGGGCTCATTAAGAAAAAAAAAGAAAATTATAATTTTTTTTTAATCTGGGCCTGTTATGGTTTTGGATCAAACCTGAATTGATATTTGGACTACATCAATTCATTCAGATTAACATCTTCATCATATTTGGACTTCTTCTAATTAAATTATCCAATTGAAATTTTTTTATTAAGTCTATTATTAAATTATTATTCAACTTTGAATAATTATTCAGTTTTAATTTTTCAGTTGAATTTTAATTTAATAATGTTTCAGATTAAATTGTATTAAGTGTTGCAATTTAATTATGGAGTATTTTGTGAGTAATATGCATAATCTGAGCATGCTATTTATCTCCTTATTGCAATAATTATTTGACTGTTATAATTATGCATGTAGAAAAGCATGTTCATTAAGAAAAATTTAGAGCCTTTTAGGTCTGAATTATATGCTGATTATGCATGATTTAGTGCCTTTAGGTGAATTAGTGACTTTCAGGTTAGATTATGCATATTATTACTCAATCTTCAGTCATTACTCCACTCGTGTTTTATAAAGTTCCTAAAGCACATAAAGTACATAAACAATTTGTAGTTTACCCTATTTAAAGCCTTATCCATAGGTAAAACTACACTCTTTAGATCTCTCAAACGATTTTACTTCAAAAATGAGAACACATGAATTAGGGAAGTTTCTTGGGAGGAATACTAGTTCTATGGCCCTGGCTTAAAAGCCTTGTTGCTACTAGTCCCCTTGCGACGCTACTCTGTCTAAGGAGTTGGTTTTTAACCGAGCTTCGTCTCGACCAACTTTCCTGGGAGTATACCTAAGGATTGTCTATCATATTTTGGTTTAATCTGTTTGTTTATTAGGTTTTCTTGCTAATGTGATTATGTTCTTTGGTTAATTAAAGAGTAGCCACAACATCTTTAATTTTTCCAAAATTACATATTAAGTTTTACTCACATAAAGTTAATGCAAGAATATTGTAATTCACTCTGCGTGATATGGCAAAGTTTAGCCCACAGGCAATTTTGTTATATTTGTAGGGTTAATTAGGATGAAATACCATGCTATGATCATAATTTGCCCACAGGGATTATGTATCGGCATATAGTTTTGGTAGTTTTGTCATTAAGGGTGGAAAAATTGAAATCGCACCCATTCCGTTTCCACCATTCGGTTTTGGTAAATTCATTATGCGTAAAAATTTAGCCCACAGGCAATTTTTATGGCATCAGAATTTATCTTTTGCATAATTTTACATTGGTAATATTATGTACTTCAGTATCTCTCTCTAATTTTGTGCCTCGAAAATATTCTAACCAAGCTTTCATTTCTTTTACAGTCACTATTCCAATCACTCAATCAATAACAATTGATATTCCTATCCTTAATTATGACAATCACAAAGAGTGGAAAGACGCTGTTTTATTGAATTTAGGAATATTGGGGTTTGATTATGCTCTTCGCAATGAGAAGCCTCCTGAGCTTACTGCGCAAAGCACTGAGGAACAAAAAACGTTATACGAGCGATGGGCAACAGCTAATCGTTTGGGCGTATTCCTCATTAAGTCCAAAATTGCCAGAGAAATTCGTGGTCCCGTCGATGAAGTTGAGGAAATTAAGTCATTACTCAAGGCCATCGATGATCAATTTGTTGACGCGAATAAATCTTTGGCAAGTACCCTGATAATGAAGTTTATCAATATGCGTCTTTCCACTGTCAAGGGAACGCGAAAACACATCATGGAACTCAGGGACATTGCGGCACAATTGAAGAAGTTGAAAATTATTCTTCCAGATGCCTTTGTGGTGCACTTTGCACTAAATACCCTATCTCAGGAATATAGCGCGTTTAAAATTGCCTATAATACACATAAGGATGAATGGTCTATCAATCAATTGATTACCATGTGTACTCAAGAGGAAACGCGACTTGTAACTGAGCTTGGGGAAAGTGCTTTTATGGCCACAACAAGGCCTAAAAGAAAATCTGGAAAGCCTAAGGGACTTACCATAGCTGCTAAGGAGAAACTAACCCCGAAAGCAGACATTAAGAAGATACAAAAGTGTTTCTTTTGCAAAAAGAAGGGACACATGAAGAAAGATTGTATCAAGTTTCAAAAATGGATGTCCCAAAAAGGTAACATTTCATCTTCTTTCGTTTGTTTCGAATCTAACATGTCAGAAGTTAATACTAATTCCTGGTGGGTTGACTCTGGTTCAACAATCCACATTGCAAACTCTTTGCAGGATATGACAAAACTGAGACAGCCAACGGGAACTGAGTGTAGCATCTTCTCTGGAAACAAGATTGCATCACCAGTCGAAGCTGTCGAAGTTTGCAATTTAGTTTTGGACAATGGTTTTGTAATGACGTTAGAAAAGACATTTTATGTTCCTAGTTTTCTAGGAACTTAATTTCAGTATCTAGACTTGTACCCTTCGGTTATTCTTTTGAACTTAATACCAATAATATCAAGTTATTTCGTTATTCTACTTGTGTTGGTACTGGTACATTGTCTGATGGTCTTTTCCGTCTTAAATTAAAGAATGATTCAGTTTACAATTCTTTACATGTTCAAAACGGCACCAAACGGTGTAGTATTAACGACAATTCCTCAATGTTGTGGCATCGGAGATTAGGTCATATTTCCCTTGAGCGTATTAAAAGGTTGGTAAAGGATGGAGTACTTTCTACTCTAGACTATACTGACTTTGAGACTTGCGTTGACTGCATTAAGGGTAAGTAGACAAACAAGTCAAAGAAAGGTGCCAATAGAAGTACAACGTTGTTGGAAATTATTCATACTGACATATGTTGTCCTGATATGACAATACCTGGTCAGAAATATTTCACCACCTTTATTGATGACTTCTCAAGTTTTTCCTATGTGTATTTACTTCATCATAAACATGAAGCATTGGATGCCTTTAAATCATTTAAAGCTGAAGTTGAAAACCAATGTAACAGGAAAATACACATAGTTAGGTCTGATAGGGGTGGTGAATACTATGGTAGATACAATGAGAATGGGCAAGCACCTGGTCTATTTGCTAAGTTTCTTCAAGAGCATGGGATTGTTGCCCAATACACCATGCCTGGTTCTCCGGACCAAAATGGTGTAGCTGAAAGAAGAAACTGGACCCTTCTGGATATGGTGCGGAGTATGCTTAGCAACTCTAAGCTTCCTAAGTCGTTGTGGGATGAAGCACTTAAGACGGCAACGTATATATTAAACCGTGTTCCAACCAAGGTTGTCCCTGAGACACCGTTTAAGTTATTCAAAGGTTGGAAACCGAGTTTGCAACATATGCGTGTTTGGGGATGTCCGTCTGAGGTGAGGATATATAACCCACACGAGAAGAAACTTGACCCAAGGACGATTTGTGTTTTCTTTATTGGATATGCACAATCTTCTAAGGGTTATAGGTTCTATTGTCCATCTCATACTACTAGGATAGTGGAATCAAGGAATGCTGAATTTCTTGAAGGTGACTTGATTAGTGGGAGTGATCGGTTTAAGGACTTAGTTCCTTCTTTCGATCATATTGACTCTCACCCTTCTACGTCATCTGGTGGTACTTATCCGCAGTGCTCCTTTAGTTCTGCCTGCAGATATACCACCTACCGTTCAGATTCCATAAACTGTTGAGGATCAACCTTTGGAAGAACCAGTTCAGGACTTACAGCAACCGCCTGAACTAGATTTCGAACCAATGGTTGAACCAACTCAGGATATACAGCAAGATTCTGAGCCGATGCAGACTGAACCAATTCAAGAACTGCCACCAGTTCCTGAAGAGGTAGTTGACCTGCAGCCTGTGCAAGGCGGTGGAGGTCCAACCTTAAGACGGTCTACTCTGATAAGGCGATCAACAGCTCCAAGTTATCCTAGTTATTATGTTTCGTATCTACAAGAATCTGACATAGGGGCTGAAAATGATCTTGAAACATTCTCTCGAGCCACAAATTGTACACAGTCTGACTTATGATTGGAAGTCATGAAAGATGAAATGAATTCCATGAAGGACAATGGAGTTTGGGATCTTGTTGAGTTGCCTAATGGGGCCAAGGCCGTTGGTTGTAAATGGGTCTTTAAGGCTAAAAGAAACTCATTAGGCAACATTGAGAGATACAAGGCCCGGCTTGTTGCCAAGGGATTTACTCAAAAATAAGGAATCGATTACAAGGAGACCTTTTCTCCTGTATCAAAGAAAGATTCACTTCGGATCATTCTGGCATTAGTTGCACATTTTAATCTTGAGTTGCAACAAATGGATGTGAAAACCGCTTTCCTAAATGGTGATCTAGAAGAGGAGGTTTATATGAAACAACCTGAAGGTTTCTCTTCTAGGGGTGGTGAGCATTTAGTATGTAAGCTTAAGAAATCCATATGCGGTTTAAAACAAGCCTCCCGTCAATGGTACATCAAGTTCGATGGGGTAATTTCTTCATTTGGTTTTGTTGAAAATCCCTCAGATAACTGTATATACCAGAAGGTGAGTGGGAGTGAAATTCGCTTCCTTGTTTTATATGTGGATGACATCTTACTTGCCACCAATGATAAGGGGATGCTTCGTGAAACAATTTCTTTCTAAGAACTTTGATATGAAGGATATGGGTGATGCCTCTTACGTTATCGGCATTAAAATTCATAGAGATAGGTCCCGGGGTATACTGGGTTTATCTCAAGAAACCTATATAAACAAAGTTTTAGAGAGATTTCATGTGCAAAATTGTTCATCTAATGTTGCTCCCATAGCTAAGGGTTAGACTTTTGGAGAGCTGTAAAGAGGGTTCTAAGGTATCTAAGATGAACCAAAGGTTACAAGCTTGGGTTTAGGCAGACGGACAATTTAGATGTTGTCGGTCATTCAGACGCGGACTTTGCTGGCTGTGTTGATTCTCGGAAATCAACATCAGGGTGCGTCTTTATTATGGCCAGTGGGGCTATCTCATGGAGAAGTGTTAAACAGTCCTTAATAGCTACTTCTACCATGGAAGCCGAGTTCGTTTCCAGTTTCGAGGCAACTTCATAGGGTGTTTGGCTAAAGAATTTTATCTCTGGGCTTAGAATTATGGATTCCATATCTAAGCCATTGAAAGTTTACTGTGACAACTCAGCTGCAGTCTTCCTAGCTAAGACCACAAAAGTGGGAGTCGAATTAAGTACATCGACATCAAGTTCTTAGCAATTAGGAATCGTGTCAAAAATAAAGTTGTATTCTTTGAACACATTCATACTGAGTTGGTGTCAGCAGATCCCTTGACTAAATGCATGCCTTCAGTTAAATTCAAGGATCTGGTTCAGAAAATGGGACTTTTTCCCACTATGGAATTTGTATATACATTCAGTTTAAAATTCTTTGGCATTCAGACATTTTCTCAATTAAGTGTGTACACCTTCATTTGCTTCATATTGATGAGAAAATGTACTTCAGGGACTTGGAATAAACATAAGGTTTATTTCGTTGGGTTTTGTTTCCTAATTAAGTGCTCAATGGCAGTTTGCATTTGATCATAACGGATACTACTCGTGCTAATGAGAACATATCATTATGGTTGGTGTTTTTCTGTTATTGAATGGTAGTGCTTGCACCAAGTGGGAGAATGTAACGTTTATCCGTTACTATTATTATAACATTAGGATAAGTTATGATAATATTCAGTATTTGATATGTGGTGCAACACTAATAACCTAATAGCTAGACTACCATTATGATTAGGAGTCTGGTTAGGGTTTAGGAGACCTAAAGACAATCAACCACAATGATGGCCAGTGGTTATATAAGGTCACTAGTCCTCTCACTGCTCACATTACATACCTCATACACCATCTAGAGAGAGCTGAGTAAAGCGAGAGACAAAATACTCATTATCTCTGCAGCAGTTCGGATCGCTCAACCGTAACAGAAACTATGGCGGGAGGTTAGTCGATCCTATGATCACATATTCTTTGATGCATGTGATATTTTAGTCTAACACAGTAACACCACTGTGAGTGCATACGTTGGAAATTCGGAGGTACTGACATTGACTATCAAGATACCATGCAGGAATATAGATCTTGTCGTTGAAGTGAAACCTCAGGCTACGGTCCAGAATATCAAGGCTCTGATTGAGGATTCCAAAAACCTCGGCTCAGATGAGTTCAGTCTGGTTTGTTCTGGGAGGGTGTTGGAGGAGGAGAAGACTCTAGCGTTTTTTGGCATTACTAGTGGATCGACGCTTTACGTGGTGTTAAATCCTAGAGATGTGTTGCAGGTTTCAGTGAAGATGTTGAGTGGAGAAACTGTGAAAATAAAGGCGAGGGCGTTGTATACAATACTGGATGTAAGAAGTTTGGTTGAGAGCAAAGTTGGTTATTCAGTGGGGGTTCTCAGCTATGGTGGAAAGAAGCTCAAGGATTCAAATTCGGTGTTGCATTATAATATCAAAGATGAATCCATCTTAGAGGTACTTCCACCAACTACTAAATGTTGTAACGATAATGAACTTTCGATGTTGAAACGCAGGCGGGCCTTGTAGTAACCCTCAAGGCCGGGAAAGGTTTGTTCAATGTTGGTGGTACCGGTTTGAGTGAGAGGGAAGGGAAGGGACAATTATAGCTAGATTGCCAGGGTTATTGTACCTTTGTCTCCTCAAAATTTATCTAAATAATTTAGATAATTTTATTAGTATTTTAATTTGTCCAATTAACATATATATTACATCATTACAATTTACATCTTCTAGTCTAGAGAATACAAGGTGAAAAGAAGCTGAAGGATTCAAAGACTGTTGTATTATAAGATCAACGATGAATCCATCTTAGAGGCGCTTCCACCAACTACTGAGATTTGAGGCAATTGGCAATTTGCAAATGCAGCAACTTAGGTTGAATCCTGAAGGGAAAGATTTGTTCAAAGTTGCTGCATTTGCAAATTGCCATTTTTTTAAACGTAAAGACTGTTCGCTAGCACAGTCGTTTACTTTTGTCACGAGTGAATGATTTGCTGCTGATTATTTTATTAACCTTTTCTGTTCATTTTAAAGGGATGGACCGATGGAAATTTAGTATTTTTTTCAAAGTTCTGGATCCCATTGGTGATAGCCCAAAGGTGATTGGAATACTTAAGAACCAATTTTAAATAGTGCAGTGGTTTAATTTACTTGAGTTTCTTGATCGAGTCTATAAATACTTTCCTAACCTTAATACAATTGTACAGAATCTCTAAATAATAATATTGATTAAAATTACACTATAAATACTTTCCTAACCTTAATACAATTGTACATGAAACATGCATCATTATTTCTACAAATAATAATATTGAAATTGCACTATAAATACTCTTTTAATCCTAACCATTTTTTCATGGATTATTTTCTGTTCTTCTTTGATATTTATGTTATTTCTCCTTATTGTTGATATTGTTGATTAATAGAGTCTGTGTTCGTCTTTGCCTCCGATCTATCCCCCATGACGTTCGAGGAAAAGCTCTATAAGGCGGCTCCGCTTGATGCACTGTCAATGCTCCACAGGACAATGTTGAACAAGTTAGTTCTCATTAAACATGTTTATTCATCTTGCAATAATATTTTTTCCACCTTACTTTTCTTAATAGTTAGTTTCGTCCAAGGCATAACACCATTGCAAGCTACATCTTCGTCAAATCTAGAAGTCATTTTGGTTGATGAAAGCACTCCCAACATCAGTCTTTAAAGAGACTAACTGTGAACTCTTCATCATCTTCAAAAAACGTTTGAAGAATCCTAAGATCGAACCCAATAAATGAGAATCTTGGCCGATTGGTTTTTGATGGATGACAAAGAATGTGTATTTTTATTCTGGACAATCAAATTTTCTATTTTCGCACCATTAGACTGTGATTTTGTTTTTCTTTGTTGAAATGAATGCAATCTTTATTTTATTTATTTCTTTTTCTTCAATGAACTGGGCAACTGGCCGTTGCGCCGTACATGTTTTTTATTTTATTTTATTTTAGTTTTTTTAAATTTAATTTAACATGCACTTTTATTAAATCTATTTTTTATTTTTTATTTTCTATTCTTTTATAATTATTAATTAAATTAAAATTTTATAATTATCAATAATATTATTATTAAATTTATAATTATCAATAACATTTGATCAATTTTATAATTATAATTACAATTATAATTTTTTGAATGATAATAAAGAAATAACTAAAGGGGGTGTATTCAATCATAACTTTTGTAGAGTTTTAAAGACTTTTAAAATGATAGATTTTAATAAACTTTGATTGACTTTCATAGAGTCGTTCAAAACTTTTTAAAACTTTATAAGACTCTATAAAAGTCTATATAAAAAACATTCATAGACTTTTATCAATTTTTTATTTTAAAAAGTCTACAAAAGTCATTGAAATTCTAAATTGAATACATCCTTATAAACTTTCAATGATTTTGATTCTTATCATTTATATATATAATTTTTTTACAAAATATTTATAATATATCATAAAATTTTCTTATTATATAGTTCTTCACACACATCAACATTCTCAACATTATTATTTATCTCCATAGTATGTAGGTTGAGACTTATATGCTAATTACTTATATATATTATTAATAAACATAAAAAAATTTTATTTCTTTAGAAATTCATAACAATATTGAATAATAAAATTTATAATAAAAGAATTGATCAAATAAAATATTTAAAAATATTGCGAACAATTATTTACAATAAGAGACTCCGAACAACAAGACTCCGAATTGTTGTTGTGAACAGTAGTTCGCTATTTGTAGTAACTTGTTAAAAATAGGAAAAATATATATTACGAATATAAACATAAAAAGAATAAAAATCAAAATGTATAAGTATTTATATGAATATTATGAAACATATAGTAAAATTTGATTATGAAAAATTTGCTTTATTCATGTATTTAGGGAGAATTAGAGAAAGTTAGGGATAAAAAATTCATTGAAAAAATAAAAATCAATATAAACAAGCAATAATGAAGTAAAAATAATATTATTTCGAATTTTTAGAGAAAGATTGTAAAGTTTAGGAGAGAGAAAAAAAAATTGGTAGAGTTTTAGGTATGAGGAAAATATGGGATAATGAAGAAAAAATTAATTTTATTAAATTTATTAGATAAGTTTATAAAGTTTAAATAGGGAGAAAAATAGAGTTTAAATAGAGAGAAAACATTCAAATTTGTTAGAAATAAAATTTTGAAATCTTGGGATTGATGGTTGGATTTCAACTATTTATATTTGAGAAGGAAAAGTCTACAAAAGTCTACAAAATTTCATAACTTTTTGAATACCACGTGACTTTTAAAGACTCTCTAAAAGTTTTAATCGACTACCACACGACTTTTAAAGACTCTTTAAAAATCTTGATTGAATACCGCCTGACTTTTAAAGAGTCTCTAAAAGTTTGAATTGAATACCCCCAAACTTTTAAAGTTCATAAAAGTCTTTAAAACTCTATGAAAGTCATGATTGAATACACCCCCCTAAATAAAATAGAGGATAGTAAATTGATGGTTTCACAAAAAAATTGAAAAAAAAACTTCAAATTAATATAGAGAAAAGTGTATTACCCAGAATTATTGTATGAATGAGAAAATAGAAAACAATATATATATATATATATATATATATATATATATATATATATATATATATATTTACCAATTTTTTCTCTCTAGGGTTTGCTAGAGTTTTCTCCTCCCCTAGGGTTTGCTAGGTTTCCGACGGTTTCCTACGTTTTTTCCGGTGATCATCACTGTTTGGCGACGCTAATGAGTACGCTGAGTTGGAACTGCCGTGGCTTGGGTAATCCACGGACAGTTCGAGAGGTGGTGGACATGGTGTCCAAAAAGCAACCCGACTTTGTATTTCTAATAGAAACTAAGGTAGCGCGAGATCATGCTGAGCGTCTTCGTGTTACGATCGGTTTCGAAGGCTTATTTTATGTTGACAATGATGGTTTGAGTGGTGGATTAGCGTTATTGTGGAAGAAGAATAATACGGCGAGACTCCTTAGTTACTCAAGAAACTACGTTGATATTGAGGTAACTATGACAGGTAATCCGGCCTGGAGAATGACGTGTTACTATGGTTATTCGGACCGTAATAGGCGTGCTGAATCATGGGATTTGTTAAGAATGTTGGCGGCAAAATCGAATCTCCCGTGGGTGGTGGTGGGGGATTTTAATGATTTGCTATACCAGTATGAGAAGAGAGGGGGAAATCCACATCCGAATAGCCTTCTTCGAGGTTTTGGGGAGACGATTGAGGATTGTGGATTGGCCCAGTTGCCAATGATTGGATACCCATATACCTGGGAGAAGGGGAAAGGGACTGCAAACTGGATTGAGGAGAGACTTGATAAGGTCCTAGTAACGAACGAGTGGCGCAATATAATTCCCCATGTAAAGGTTATGAATTTGAGAACCAGGAAGTCAGATCATTCAGCCATTTTTTTCACAGTTCAGGAGGAGGTAGGGAGGGATGGGGTTAGAAGAAGGGGTTTTAGGTTTGAGATGGCATGGTTATATGATGAGGGATGTAGGGGTGTGGTGGAGCAGGCGTGGCAGGAAGGGAGAGGGCAGGGTTTACAGGGTTGTGTTCAATACTGTGGAAACCGGTTAACACGATGGGGTGGGGATCGGTTCCATAAGTATGGGAAACAGATTGTGCAGCTGAAACGGGATCAACAACGTTTGAGAGGATGCACTGACTCGGCCTCTCTTGTCGAGTTTCAGCGAATAGAGCAACTTCTGAGTCGCACTGAGGCCCAGGAGGATGCATACTGGAGGCAGAGAGCCAAGCAGCACTGGCTCAAGGAAGCTGACGCCAATACCAAATTCTTTCACAGGTATGCCTCTCACCGAAAGAAAAAGAATACTTTACTTAGATTAATGAATGACAATGGGGATTGGTTGGAGGGGGATCCCATGAGAGATATCATTCTGGACTATTTTAAGAATATTTTCAGCTCTGGGGGTCCGGGAACTGGAGATGATTTTTTTGGGGGGATAGAACCCAGGGTATCACAGGCGCAGAATGACTCACTATTACGGCCATTTAATCTGGAGGAAGTAAAGGATGCATTGTTTGCAATGTATCCGGATAAAGCACCGGGACCGGATGGAATGAATCCGGGTTTTTATCAGCATTTCTGGGATGTGGTAGGAGGGGATGTTGCGAGTTTTGTGCTAAACTGTCTTGAATCAAGTGACCTCCCGTCTGGCTTGAATGAGACAGATATTGTGTTGATCCCTAAAAAGAGTAATCCAGAGTTAGTAACTGATTTGCGCCCTATAGCACTTAGCAATGTCATTTACAGAATAATAGCTAAAATGATGGCTAATAGAATGAAGCCTTTGATGGAAGGAATAATATCTGAGACACAGAGTGCTTTTATCCCAGATAGATTGATAACAGATAATATTCTATTAGCTGCAGAAGTGGGGCACTTTCTGAATCGAAAACAGTGTGGATTGAGGGGCTGGGGTGCACTTAAGCTGGATATGGCTAAGGCGTATGATCGAATGGAGTGGCCATTTCTCCGTAATATGATGATGGCATTGGGTTTCCATGATAGATGGGTTGATTTGATTATGAAATGTGTGACCACAGTCTCCTATAGTATTCTAATAAATGGCTCAAGGAGTGACCCAATAATACCCACGCGTGGTTTGAGACAGGGAGACCCGCTATCCCCATATTTGTTTATTATCTGTGCAGAGGGACTCTCGTTGTTACTACAACAGGCTAACAGAGCGGGATTAATTCATGGATGTAGGGTAGCAAGAGGTGCCCCTCAGATTTCTCATTTGTTTTTTGCGGACGATAGCCTTTTATTCTTTAAGGCTAATGTGGAAGAGGTTAATGAGATAAAGAAATGCCTGACTGTATATGAGGATCTATCGGGACAGGTGGTTAACTACCACAAGTCGAGTATTTGTTATAGCAGGAATACGAGTAATGTGGATAGGGAAAGTGTGGCCCAAGTTTTGGGGGTGGAGCAGGCACCAAACTTTGGCAAGTATTTGGGTCTACCTTCGTTTGTGGGTAGGAATAAAAAGGCAGCTTTTGCATATATTGAGGATAAAATACGCCAAAGAATTGGGTCGTGGAATAAAAGGCTATTGTCTCAGGCAGGGAAAGAAATACTGTTGAAAAGTGTGGCACAATCTATGCCTACCTTCTCAATGAGTGTTTTTTTGCTACCTATATCAGTATGCACGGCTATAGAAAGAACGATGAATAGATATTGGTGGGGTTCTGGGACGGACAACCGAGTTCACTGGAAGGCTTGGGACAAGCTATGTGTTCCTAAGAAGTATGGTGGATTGGGTTTTAAGGACCTACGTGCATTTAATCTAGCTATGTTGGGGAAACAGGCATGGCGAATGCTCACTAAGCCTGATTCCTTAGTAGCTCGTGTTTACAAAAGCCGATATTTTCCCAGGGATACTTTCTTTGATGCGCAGGTAGGAAATAATCCCAGTTTTTGTTGGCGGAGTATAATGGCATCAAAGAGCATAATTTGTAGTGGGGTCAGACGAAGAATTGGGAATGGGGAAACTACATCTATATGGACCCATCCATGGTTACTGGATGACCAGGACCCTATGATACAAACAGAGATGCCTATACAGTTACGAGAGGCCAGAGTAGTGGGGCTAATAGATCAACAAACTGGTACATGGGATAATGAAATTTTATCAGATTTATTTCAACCTACGGATGTCGAGAGAATTATGAGAGTACCTGTATCCCGGGATTATAATGATGCATGGTATTGGTACGGGGACCCGAGAGGATTATATTCTGTGAAAAGCGGGTACAGACGATTGGTGGGAGATTATGAGAATAATCAAGGCCCCTTTACTAATTGGTTAGCTTTATGGAGACTAAAAATTCCACCAAAGTGGAAAATGTTCCTCTGGAGAGCTATTTGTGATATTTTGCCTACAACTACGAACTTGCTTTTAAAGAGGGTGGAGGTGAACCCATATTGTGCTATGTGTGGGATATCACATGAGAATACAATGCATGCATTAGTCTTGTGTGATTTTGCAAGAAACATTTGGGATCAATCCAACCTTACAATCCCCAATATTGTCACGGATATTTTTCATGTTTGGTTTGGGGAACTTCTAAATATTTTAGATTCTGATGGAATGTTATATGCAGCATCAATTCTATACAATATTTGGAAAGCTCGAAATGGTGCAGTTTGGGAGGCGTTTTTACCACGCCCGGGGTCCCTACTCAGAGCCGCAGCGGCAGCCAAGACCGCATGGACTCAGTCCCGCCCAGCCGTGGCTGCCACTGCCACTGCTACGCTGCCGACAGAAAACCGCCACGCTGCCCAGGCGAGTCCCACCGCCGGCCGCGGTGCTGCCGACGCCGCCGGATCCTCTGTGCCGCCAGTGAGAAGATGCAGGGTCGATGCGGGATATCTACACGAGACAGGGAATGCAACTGTAGGGGCCGTTTTATTAGATGGAGATGGAGCCTATATCTCGGCACTAACCGCGCCGCTACCGGCCTGTACGTCACCACTTATGGCTGAGGCTTTGGCGTGTAAGGAAGTTTTATCATGGCTAAAGGATCGAGGTGAACAGAATATTGAGATCTACACGGATTGTTTGACACTACAACGCTACCTTACATCATCAACCACTGCGTTTCGCTCTTACGTTGGCTATGCCATTGATAGCTGCAGGCAAATTGCCGTTTATTTTCACTCATGTTCTTTTAATTATATTTCTAGATCGGACAATTATTTAGCTCATGCTTTAGCCACTACGGCTTATCAGCAACCTGATACTATGTACTGGGATACTCACCCACCAGACATTATTTCAGCATTTTTCTAATGAAGCACCGCAGAAAATTTTCAAAAAAAAAAAATATAGAGAAAAGTATTTGTGATTGAGTGAGATAGCTACTCATAAGATAAATATTAGAGCCCACAAAAACCTGAGAAAAATCCCAACTATTGAGGATGCGCTAGAGCCCTACCTGCTCCAGTGCTCCTCTTATCTTCAAAACCAGAGATCTCAGCGATGGCATAGAGACAAATTAGCAACGATGAGTAAATAGTTTTCGGAGCTAGAGGAGTTTGTTGGAGTAGTTGTACTGTTGTTCGCTGTTCGTCGTTGGGACGCTTGTGTCTTCACCGTAACAGTGCTTTCTTTTTCGGTAATTTCAATTGTGTTTAATTTGTTGTTCGCTGGTTTTCATTGATCTTAGAAGTAGAAGCTGTATAGCATGAATTGTGTTAAATGAGGTTAAGCTTAGTATATATAATAAGAGGTAGTGTCTGTAGGTGTTGGTTCTACTTCAATTCGAACTTTCTCCATGGAAGCATCGATCTCTAATCCCATGGCTCAACAAGAACAGGAAGATGAAGTGGTTTGAAATTAGTACCATTTGATTGTATTGTTGTTTTCTTTCATTTAGAAAAAATTCATATCTGTTGTAGCTAGATTATGATGGTTCTATGTTTAACTTTTTGCAGATAAACATAAGCGTGAAGATAATTAAAACTGTGAGTTTACAAATTAATAAATTCGAAAGTGTTGGAGAACTCAAAGATTTAGTGTCCGCCCACGAGGGAATACCAGAGATTCATCAGGAGCTGTTTTTCAACGGCAATCATCTCAAGAATGAGAAGACGAGGCTTTTCGACCATGGAATCCGCAGTAACAGCACTGTGAGTGCCTACATTGCAAATTCGAAGCTGATGTCGTTGACCATCGAGATACCATATAGGAAGGGAAGGTTTATCATTGAAACGAACCCTCAGGACACGGTCCAGAATGTGAAGGCTGTGATTGAGGACACAGAAAACATGGGGTCAGATGAGTTCAATCTGGTTTATCGTGGGAGGGTGTTAGAGGAGGAGAAGACTGTAGCGTTTTTGGGCATTACTAATGGATCCAGGCTTTACGTGGTGTTAAATCCTAGAGATGTGTTGCAGGTTTCAGTGAAGATGTTGAGTGGAGAAACTGTGAAAATACAGGCGAGGGTGTTGCACACAATACTGGATGTAAGAAGTTTTGTTGAGAGCATAGTTGGTTATTTAGTGGGAGATCTTAGTTATGGTGGAATGAGGCTCGAGGATTCAAAGACAATTTCGTATTATGAAATTAAGGACAAATCCATCTTATTGGTGCTTCCACCAACTACTAAGGGTGTCTTTAGTTCATGGGATTAGCTAGGAGGAATGTGAATCAAAGTTATTGTTATTGTTTAGTTGACAGGTTTCTTAAGACACTATTATGGGATTTGATTACCCTTAATTAGAAAACTCATCTGTTAGTAAAATAAGGACTTCACTCCACTATTCCCCTTCATAATTTGGTAATTTGATTTTTAAGTTTGAATTATTGCTTTTGTATTTTTATTTTTTGTTCATATTGGTGCTTGAATGTCTTTATATTAGAATAAATTGTCTTGATTTGTTGTTCTTATATTTTTAAAACCTTTATTCTCATTATAGGATCATACATACCAAACAACAATATTAGTAATCATTCCAATTCAACCCTACTACCAAACATGCAAAATACTTTCACCAAAACACATTACTATTTACCAAGTATTTGATTTAGAGGTTGGATCAACGGATTAGAGGCTTCGAACTAGGGGTGTAAATGAGCCGAGCTGCTCGCAAGTCGCTCATGAGCGGCTCGGTCAACGCTCGGCTCGAACTCCGTCAAAATCGAGCTCGGCTCGAGCTCGAGCAGCTCGTGGATTAAACGAGCACGAGCCGAGCTTAGGTATTGTAGGCTCGCGGCTCGACGAGCCGTTCGCGAGCCTTATAATATATTATATATTATATATAATATATAATATAATTATATTATATTTAGTATATAAAAAATAATAATTAGGGGAGGGAAATTAAAATATTTTAATAATTATGTATGGATAAAAATAATAAAACAAAGTAGTTTAAATTTTAAATCAAACAGGTCAAATTTGAGATCAAAATTGAGCTCAAATTCGAGCCTAAACTCGAGCTCGAATTCGAGTCTGAACTCGAGCTCAGGTTATGGCTCGAATTCGAGCTCGAGTTTGAACAATCGAGCTGCTCGAGCTCGAGCTCGAGCAGCTTGACAATTGCCAAGCTCGAGCTCGAACATCAATTCACAAGCTCGAACGAGCTCGAGCTCGAGCTCGAGCAGTGCTATCATTAACGAGCACGAGCATGAGCCTACCTAAGCTCGGGCTCGGCTCGACTCGTTTACACCCCTACTTCAAACAAATGTTGTTTAACAAAGAGTAGAAGAAGGATAACGGTTGAATAGACGGATTTTAGAATCCTTGTACAACCAAAAATTGGTCGGAAACCATGGATTATTGCTTCGATTTCTCAGATTCGAACCGAGAGCTGGAATACTGGAATAGAGAGCGAGAGAGAGGGGGGAGGAGGGCTGCAAGTGATGACAACATATGACTTTTATACTCCAGTATGTTGGGTCGGGTTGCATTTGGATCAGGCAGCATCATCTCGGTTATGGGACTGAATCTGTTCTTCTAATTTGGACGGTAGAGATGAATATATATATATATATATATATATATATATATATATATATATATATATATATATAAAAGCCTAGAATAATTAGTTATTTTATGTGGACTGGACTGATTTTTTTAACTTACAAATTTAGGTTATAATAGGATAATTACTTATTACTTATGTTATGTGGATTGGATTATAGTATAAAATGTAAATCGGCTGGAAAACTTTATTATTATTATTATTAGTGATGTTACTATTGTATTATTTTTATTATTATTAGTATTAACATGTACTATATTATTCATAATTTATACATTTCAGTTAATGTTATATAGTTTATTCAAACTATAATTAATGTTTTTAATATTATAAAATTAATGTATAATTTTGAAGATTAATTCGTATATGAATTTTGAGGATTAATGCTTAATCAATCGTTTTTAACACATGATTTGACAATAAAATTATTTAAGTTTTATGCGGTGCATCTTTATGGATGGAATGCTATAATTAAGCATTAATCCTCAAAATTCAACAATATTTAATAAAATTACAAAGTTTATCATTTCAAATTTATTACGTTTTCAAACTATATATTTTTCCATCTTATTATATTATACTGTATATTCTATATACTATATATATATATATATATATATATATATATATATATATATATATATATATATATATATATATATACTAGTTTTTTACGCGCATTGCGCGATTGGGATAATGCCCAATATTTTTCTTAAATAAATATTTTAAAGTATATTAAGACAAGATTATATTGGAATTGTTCATGCATAGATAATTGAATGTTGAATTTGCATATTTAAATTTTTTTTTTGAATGCGCATATTTAAATTGATAATTCTAAGTTTACAAATGCAAGATAATATAATCAAGATTGATTATAATTGTCAATAAAATAATTGTATAAGTATCGTTGAAACCAAATACGAGACATATGGAAGCGCAAATAAAAATTAAAGCATAAAATATTAATTATATACTAATATTGTTTAAGACTTTAATACTAGAATTAGATTAATGTTGTAGTTATAATTCTATATTAGAATTAGACTAACAGTGAATTAACGGTACTTAATGGAAAAGTTAACGGATCGAATAATCATATAATTGAGGATAAATTAGGAAATCTCAAGGAAAAATTAAAATCTGAACAATCTGAACTATTCATTTGATTTAATAATTTGACGGTCATTTTTTCTACCCAATGTTTATAATTAAATAAATATTTGAAAGTATATCAATGCAAGATTATATATGAGAAGTTCCACATAAGTAATTTAATGTCTAATTTGTTTATTTAAATATGTAATTTATAGTATATGAATACAATGTAATATAGGAGATTCATTATAATTTTTACTAAACTTTTTTTAAATAGTATCCAAGTATTTTTGTTACAAAGGGTTCTAATATATTTAACGAATGCACATATATACAAGATCATAGAATGAATCAACGGTACCAGTCATTTAGGTGTTTTGCTCAGTGTTCATTTAGTTCAACCATTATTGTTAAATAAATTATTATGGATAAAGAAATTCCTAATTTAAGGAATTTGGATGTAGTAAAAATTTAAAAATTTTAATTATAATATAACCCAAATATATTGAACGATTGGTAAATATGATGTAACCCAAAGATCGAAATGCTAAAGAAAGTGTTTTGGTTATTCAACAGTTTGAAGCAACAATTTGTTCCAAACCACTGAAAATACAAACATTGCAATTTACAATATTTTCACTTAGCGTTTTTGAAAATGATTTTCCTAAAACACATCTATATTTTTAAAAAAAATTATTATTAAAACAATTATTATTATTATTATTATTATTATTATTATTATTATTATTATTGTTGTTGTTGTTATTGTTGTTGTTGTTATTGTTATTGTTATTATTGTTATTATTGTTATTATTGTTATTATTATTATTATTATTATTATTATTATTATTATTATTATTATTATTATTATTATACCATTAGGTCATTTTAAATGTTAATTTAAACAGCTAATTTTTTCAAATATCTCTTTACCAACCGTTGATATAATTCGCTGGTCAAATCCGCTAACTGCTGATTGTCAAAAGGATATTGCGAGTTAGTTTCTCATTCCAATTTATTGTGTGATTTGAATACTCTATTTGTCAACAAATCTCTCAAGTAGTTATATGATTGGCTTTATTAATTTTTTTTTCATGTTATTAATAAAATAATTGGTAAATAAATATATAACATTATTTTGTATTATAACTTTGATATTTAATTAAAAAATAGTGCACAAAAAAGATAATAGACAATGTAGTGAATATAATCAATCGATGAATTTGAATATAAAGAATTTTTACATTGGAGAAAAATAAAGACAATATAACTAATTAAATTATTTCTCTTAATTAATTTATTGATAATGAATAAATTTTTTTAATAAAAACTATGTAGCGAATATAATCAATTAATGAATTTGAATTTTGAATGTAAAGAATTTTTATATTGGAGAAAAATAAAGACAATATAACTAATGAAATTATTTCTCTTATTTAATTTATTGATAATGATTTTTTTTTTTTGAATAAAGGCATTGTAGACACATAATTCTAAATTAAAGAAATGCATATGTATTATTTTTTGTTGTAACTACTAAATTATTATTTAATTTAATAAGAGTAAAATAGAGTACTAATTATGCCAACTTTGATTAGGATGAGATTCGAACCTAAGACCTTTTTTATTGAAATCAATGAGTAACTTAACGGTGAACTAACAGAAATTAACGGAAAAGATAATATTTAACGGAAAAGTTAACGGATAATCATATTCATTAAGGATAAATTAGGAAATATCAAGGAAAAATTAAATTCTGATCAATCTAAGCCATTCATTTGATTAAAAAAGTTGACCGCCATCTTTTCTATCCATTATAGGCCTAACTCTCTTGGGCTCTTATTAGTATAGTATATATATATATATATATATATATATATATATATATATATATATATAGTCGTGCATCGCACGGGTGCAACTACTAGCTCTATAATAAAGCAACAACTTCTTGCAAATCAATTTCCCGCCCAAATAAAACGCTGCCGTTTAGAGCCACAGGACAATTCTGGTCGTATTAAATGCTATTCACACTCTTGGTTTCAGATTCTAAGGAGGCTTAGCCGAAATAACTCTTGATTTTAAGAATAACTTTTGATAGTTTGTTAAATTAAACTTAATAGATTAACAATAACGAAGAGGTAATAATCTTCTTCCAAAAGGCTGAACCCCAACCCTAAGGGCCCCCCACACCCCGACCTAACAGAGGTAATAATCTTGAATGGGTTAATGGATGTTCTATGATTTATTGTTGTGGAGTAAAATAATATTTACATTATAATCATATTTTATATTAAAATATTAAAGGTTATAATACAAAGTCTTAATTTATGAAAAAATAAATTGTTTTAGTAAAGAAATAAAATTTGGTGTAATTGATTGGAGATAGAAAAAAAGGGGAAAATGACACTTTTTACCCCTGAGTTATATACTTATAGCACTTTTTCCCCCTCAATTATTTAGGTAAGCACATTAGCCCCTTCAATTATTCTAAAAGTGGTGCCTTTTCCCCCTAATATATTAAATTGACATTTATACCCTTAAAGTAAACATTTTATTTATTTTATTACTCCAACAAATTATTGCTTATACGTAGGGATGACCACGGTTCGGTTTGAATTGAACCGGATACTAAAGCAATCGAATTAATAGTTTACGGTTATAATTCAGATCTAGAACACAATATTTAAATGTCAATTTATTAAAATTATGTATCAAAAAAATTGAATCTTGAACCGTGAACCGGCGGTTCTGGATCTTATTCGCGATTTTGAACCGTCTTTATTTTAAAATTTTATTTTTTATTTTAAAATAGTCTAAATTCAACAATAAATGTATTTTATTTTTTCAGTTCGGAACATGAACCGTCCGTTCCGGTTCACGATTTTAATAAACTCTAAATATCGAATTTCGATTCTAAATTGTAATTGGAATATTTCGGTTTGGTTGCTATAGTGTTTGTTTAGTTTGAACCAAATTATGGTCATAATTTGTTGGAAAAAAAATAAATTAAATATTTAGTTTAAGGGTAAATATGTCCATATAACATTTCAGGGGGAAAAACAGCCACTTCAATAATTTAGGGGGAAAAAATGCTATAGGTATATAACTCAGGGGGAAAAAATGTCATTTTCCCGTAAAAAATGATATAAGAATATATAAGGAATATTTCCTATGATGCAAAATTTGATGTAGAGGCTTGGAGATGACAATCGTTATTGTGTGGACTATAGTCCACACAAGCTATGTGGATCATATTTTGTATGTTATAAAATAATGTATATTTCGTACAAAAATAATGTACTTTTAGAATATTAAAAATGTACTTTTGTATTAAGAGAAATTACATTATTTGAATACTACAAATATATTATTTTTATAATATACATTCTGTACAAAAATAAAGTACGTTTTAATATATTAAAAATGTACTTTCTTTTATGTACTTTCTTTTTGGAGATCTTCTAAAGTATTTAGGCTAACTAAGAATCTACGCCTAAGTGGTGTACAATCAGAGGTCGAAGCTAAAGAGATTGAAGAGTTTGCAAAATGGATAGCTAATATAGGTGATGGAGTAGTTGGTAATTCAACTGATAGTGAAGCAGATATTACAATTCCAGATCACTTATTGCTCAAGTATGACGATGATCCTACTGCTGCAATTATTGATAGCACATTCCCTTTGTTTCGACGCGGTATATGTGATCTGTCATATCTTAAGAACATTGTTATTTTGACTCCAACATTGGATGTGGTAGATAACATTAATCAATACATGAATGATCATAAAATTACAAAGTTTATTATTTCAAATTTATTAGGTTTTCAAACTGTATATTTTTCATATAATTATATTATACTGTATATTTTATATACTATATATATAGCCGTGCTTCGAACGGGTGCAACTACTAGTTATAATAGAGTCAGTAATTCGTTTATTTTTTTTAGTACTATGACTTAGTATTTGTTTTATAAAAGTTTTTACCTTTATTTGATTTGTAATAATTTTAATTTAATTAAAGGAAAGGGGCAACATCGTTGAATTCAATCGGCATGGCGTGCCATTCCATCTTCCCAGGAAGTGTAATTTAATGCTTTGTATTTTATTAATCGGCCGCTCAGTTTCTATATAATAACAGGTAGTGTCTATATTTGCTCTACTTCAAACTCTTTCCATGGAAGAATCGTTTCTGCGGAGCTCTTCTCCCATGGCTCAACAAGAACAGGAAGAGAAAGATGAAATGGTTTGAAACTAGTTCCATTTGATTGTATTGTGATTTTCTTTAGAAAAAGTTATATCTGTTGTAGCTAAATTATGATGGTTCTATGTTTTTTGCAGATGAACATATGCGTGAAGATAATTAAAACTGTGAGTTTACAGATTAGTAAATTTAAAACTGTTGGAGACCTGAAAGATATTTTAGTGTTCAAACACGAGGAAATATCTCCTCTGGTTCATCAGGAGCTGTTTTTCAACGGCAATCATCTCAACAATGACAAGAAGGCAATGGAAGGGGCAATACTAGATTGCCATGATTCTTGTACCTTTAATTTGTCTCCTCAAAATTTATCCAAATATTTTAGATAATTTTATTAGTGTCCAATTAACCCATATATTACTTCATTTTACATCTTCTAGTCTGCCGAAATTAACATTGAACAGAAACAGAAATCAAATTGGATTTATAATCAATCAATTCGATCCAGAATTGAACCAACTAGAAGCAGAAACTTTGTAACAAACCCTATCCTTTGGAAGACCTTTGGCAATGCATTTATATACCACCTGTTACATCGGTTTGATTGAAATAAAGTGATATGCTGTTTAAATTAAAGGGCGATCATGATCGCTGGCGCAGGAGACATTGTAGCAGCCTTAGAGATGGTTTGCTCAGACGAAATAGCGCCAAAGCCACCAGCAATGGATGCCATGTGAAAACCTAGAGTACCGATACCATATGAATGTTTGTATTCTGTGGTAAAAATAATATGTAGTACAATACAGGATGATATGCAATATATTATGTAAGATTATGAAACCCAATAGAACTTGGATTGTAGAGTCTTAAAAAGAATAAATGTATTAAAAAGTTGAAGTTAGAAAATGATTTTCATGTATCTACATGAAAATTAAAGGGCTGCATGGTCTTATTTTACATAGCATGAATGGTGTGACGGTATCTACTAGTAATTGAAAAAATAATTAAGAATATGAGTGAAATAATCAATGATAAAAGAATAAATCATGTAGCCTTTATACCATTGAACCACAACAATTAAAAAAAAAATTACCTACCACTTTTCAAAAAAAAAGAAAGAATATGAGTGAAATAATCAATGATAAAAAGATAAATCATGTGGCCTTCTTACCATTGAACCACAACAATTTGTTTTTGTTTTTGTTTTGTTTTTTTTTTGTTTTTTTTTTAAAGGGAAAATGACACTTTTTCCCCTGAGTTATATACTTATAGCACTTTTCCCCCCTTAATTATTTAGGTAAGCACATTAGCCCCCTCAGTTATTCTAAAAGTGGTGGTTTTTTCCCCTAATATATTAAATTGACATTTCTACCCTTAAAGTAAACATTTTATTTTTTTTACTTCTCCAACAAATTATTGCGTATACGTAGGGATCACCACGGTTCGGTTCGAACTGAACCAGACACTATAGTAATCGAATTAAAAGTTTCCGATTATGATTCAGATCGAGAACCCAATATTTGGATTTCAATTTATTAAAATTATGAATCAAAAAAATTGGATCCTAAACCGTGAATCAGCGGTTCCGGATCCGGTTCGCGATTTTGAACCGTCTTTATTTTAAAATTTTATTTTTTATTTTAAAATAGTCTAACTTCAACAATAAATGTATTTTATTTTTTTTCAGTTCGGAACATGAACCGTCCGTTCCAGATCGCAATTTTGATAAACTCTAAATATCGAGTTTCGATTCTAAATTGTAATTGAAATATTTTGGTTTGGTTGCTATAGTGCTTGTTTGGTTTGAACCAAATTATGATCATAATTTGTTGGAGATGAAAAATAAATGAAATATTTATTTTAAGGGTAAATATGTCCGTTTAACATTTTAGGGGGGAAAACAGCCACTTGAATAATTAAGGGGGAAAAAGTGCTATAAGTATATAACTCAGGGGGAAAAAGTGCCATTCTCCCTTTTTTAAATTTAGTTTAAAAAATTTGAATTGCCAAAAAAGAATTTCCGACCACCTTTACTTTGTTGTTGGTATTTCCTCTAACCTATTAAAGGTGGTCGGAAATTTTGACCAATGTAACCCTCCATCAAAAAATGAAAAAAGTCAATTTTTGCGCCCATATTTGGGTGGTCAAAAATGAGGTTGGAAAAATGCTGATTTTTAATAGTTGAAGGCAAGTGTATTGTAAGACAGAAAAATATGAAACAATTAATTTTCCATAAAATATGAAACAATTATTGAAAAGACTAAAGTTAATATATAATTTTCAACGCAAATCATAAATGATCATAATATTACAATTAGTAATTAGTGATTCATTCAATATCAAATGATCAAACGAATTTCCAACCCCTAGAAACTAGAAAGTATAAAATAATACTATAAATTTTTTTAAGTTTTTATGGTTTGAACATAAGTTTTATATTTTATTTTGGACTCTAAATAATTTTTAAATGTGTAGAATTATATATGTATGGATACATCATTTTATATTATTAATTGTAGCATTATTAAGTTAAATAGGTCGAACTTGAGCTCAAACTTGAGCTTGAAAGTTTGAGCAATCTAACTCGAGCTTGAGCTCGAAAATTTGATCACAATTCAAGCCAATTAAGTTGAGGTTGACTCTAGCTCGAGGTTTACTCGCAAGCTCGCACACTCCAGCTATATAAAAAAATTCGTGAACTGAACTTGTGTTTCAATTTTAAGATTCTATCGAGTTCGAGCTCGGCTCGTTTCCTGTCACAGGCTGGAATGCAAGGGTAAGGGAATTGTACCTTTGTGGGCAAGTATGAAGATGAAAGATGTATAACTGCACGAAAGTAAAAACAAAAAAAAAAAAAAAGGTATTGTAGCCTTTTTCGTTTATGTTATTTGGAATAACTAGTAATTCACCCGCGCGATGCACGGAAAAAAATTATGTTATTATAAATATAAATAAAAAAATAGAAAAAATAAAAATATTTTAAATTGTTTAATATAATAATATTTTTGAGCTTCCATTGGTCAAGTATATTTATTATTTTTATAGAATACAAATTACAATTAAAATTAAAATTAATATGGTTAATATAATCTCTAATTATGTACATATTCAAATAAACTTATAAGAGAATTTACATAATTAGATTGATTTATTCTTAATTGTATTTCATCTATATTATAATTTTCACAATACGAATAATGACTAAGATAATTACATTTAGAAAGCAAATTTCAAATTTTGTAGGAGTAAATTTAAACTCTAATTGAACACATTTTTTTATATGATTATATAATATATTCTTTATGCACATGTCATTCCATAATCAAGTTATTTCACTTAGAGTGCACAGCGGAATAAATAGGTGCAAAGTGTTTTGCCCAACTAATGAATTAGATCACATGCATATCATTTAATGTGCTCAGATGATGTAAGGGAAATGTCAGGATATCTTGAATATTTAAAATAGATGGTTCACTCAATATATAATAAGATTATTCAAAATTGCATATAAGACATCGAGTGAAATCGTCCGGGTGATAAACGTTACATGCAACACGTCATAATTGCTTAGAATAATTCAAAAGTTAAGCATAGAAATTTTGAGCTTCATGCATATGTAAAAACACACTAAACCTGACTGATTAAAATTAACAGTGAATAGTAAACGGGTTAGTCGCATAGATAAATAAATAAAGCGAATTATGTAAGTGCGGTATGTAAATGAGAGAGGCAATTTATAGTGGTTCGGAAGTGGCGTAATCTTCCTAGTCCACTTTACTCCTTTCGCGTCTAGGAGTAATTCACTATTTTCCACACACAGTTACGATAGTGAATAAGTGCTACACAAGCACTTCTTCGGATGTTTTGCACACAGCTACACCCAACTTCGAGTGTTGCGCGCACAGCTACACTCAACTCGGAGTATCTCGCACACATATTGTTTTGGTGCAGAGTATTATGTTTTCTCAAGAATCTCAGGGTGTATTTCTGAATCTCATTCAATCTCTTTATATAGAGGTAGAATTGAATATGGACTATTGGAGAAAAACGAAGAGTTGTGCCTTAGAAGTTGGAAAAATTAGAAATAATAATTAAGTTCGTTGCATGTGTTCAGTTCAAATTTGTAATTTAAACAATGGGTGCAGACGAAGAATTGGAAATGGCAGGACTACTAATGTCTGGTCATATCCTTGGCTCCCTAATGCACATGATCTCTATGTGGGTCTGAGTCACCAGGACCTGAATCAGGATCTTCTGGTTTCGGATTTGGTTGATAATGACACACAAGGGTGGAATGATGGTTTAATTAACCAGCTGTTTTCCCCTCGGGATGTTGTGCTAATAAAGCAACTGCCTATTAATGCGGAATTCGAAGACATGTGGTTTTGGGATCGGGATTTAAGGGGTTGCTATTCAGTCAAGGATGGATATAGAAGGCTGGTTGAAATGAATGCCCCATGCTCGTTGGTTTGGGGAATGTTTTGGAAGCTACAGGTATCTCCAAAGTGGAAGATTTTTTTATGGAGAGCCCTTTTGAACATCTTGCCTACGTTGGATAATCTGGTCAACCGCAGGGTGGATCTTATTAATGTTTGCCCGTCATGTGGTTTGGATGAGGAAAATGTCATGCATGCTTTATGTTCTTGTACTTTTGCGTCACATGTTTGGAATTTATCTCAATTGCCTATCCCCTCTTTTAACGGCAGGAGTTTTGTGCAATGGATGGAAGATTGGCTTGGCTCACCGGCCTCCACTGCAGACACAAAGCTAAGGGGCAGATTTGTGGTTTGTTATATGATGTTTGGACATCCAGGAATGCCGCGGTGTGGGATGGCACTCTGCCATTACCGCACATACTGCTTCGCGGTAGTGTTGCAAGGTGGGAAGCGTGGAAAGCTAGTGAGCAACGGCAGCAGCACAACTCCTCTCTTGTGGCACCAGCCCCGAACCCGGATCCCCAACTAGTTGCAGGAGTCATCTGTTATGTAGATGCGGGGTTTCATGGTCCACATCATGCAGCCACGTATGGGTTTATTGTTCATGAGGTGAATGGAACCTTTGCGGCGGCGGCAAATGGGCCAATTGCTTGTTCATATGATCCTCTCCTGCCGGAAGCACTGGCAATATGTGAAGCATTATCGTGGTTGAAAGACAATGGTTACACAGCAGTCACATTATGTTCGGATAGCATGGTTTTGGTCTCAAGTCTAAGACAAACTAGTTCTTTTCGTACCTATATTGGTTTTGTGTTGCTTTCTTGTAATCGTTTGTTTTCTTTCATGTCAAACTCAATGGTTAAATATGTAGGTAGGGATGCTAATCGGGCGGCTCACGCTCTAGCTAAGCATGTAAGTGCAAGTTTGGCACGTTCTGTTTGGAGGGAAGATCCT